AGAACGTACAACACCCAGAACAAACTGTAACGTACACTATGGACTCTGAGCGATGATGACATGTCACCGTAGGTTCCAGCATTGTAACAAATGCACCCTGTGGCGGGGGAGCTGGTGATGGGGGAGCCAAGGGAAATCTCTGGACCTTCTGCTCATTTTTCTGTGAACATGAAAGTGCTCTGAAAAATTAAATCTATTTGAAAAGGGGTCAGAGCCCTGGCTGCTTTGGCTCAGCAGTTAGAGCGTCGGCCCACGGACTGGAGAGTCCTGGGTTCGGCTCCCGCTGAGGGCAGGTACATAAATAAATAAATAAATAAATAAATAAATAAATAAGAATAAAATAGCCCTGGCCGCCCTGGCTGGTTTGGCCGGTTTGGGTGAGGATAAAAAAATAAAAAATGAAATAAAAAGGGGCCAGGCTTTCCTAATACCAACGGCCTTGCTGTAGCATAACCGGCCGGAGCTGACCTTTGCTGGCCGGGGGCCTGAAGCTTGGAACTTGAACTCACTGTCAACACTGATTCCAATTTCAACTCTGTGCTTAAAAAATCTTCAAAAGATCCGAACGCCTGGCGAGACGCACAGTGGCCGCCTGTCCTCTGCTTTCCCTTTGCTCCAGAGGCCTCCGACCTCTGGGCCCTGCACTGCTGTCCTGACCACTCAGGTCTCCGGCCAGCACCCTCACTCCCAAACACTGGGCACCCAAGCCTCTTGTGTCCACTGAGCACCTGCGTCCCTGTGAGGACACCTGTGCCCAGTGCCTCCCTGGACCTACTCAGTCACACAATCAAGTTGTCACCTCTTCCGAGTGGCCTTCACTGGTCCCCCCAAGGAGGAACCCCCATTTCCCTCTCTCCGTTTCCCTCTCTCGTCCCGTGCTCCCTTTCTCCATATACCACACTTCGATTATTCAAAGTGCCATACTTACCTGGTTTAGGGTCTGAGGTAAACTCCAAAATACAAGGACTTTGCTCTCCCTTCTCTTTAAAAAAAAAATTTTTGTTTTTATCCTCACCCAACGACATTTTTCCATTTTTTGTTCAGATAGAGTGGGAGGGAGAGAGAGAAAGAGAAACATCGACGTGAAAGGGACACATCGAGTGGCTGCCACCCACACGACCCAACCAGGGCCGGGGACAAACTGCAACCGAGGTACATGCCCTTAGCGGGAACCGAACCCGGGTCTCTCTGGATGCTCTAACCGCTGAGCCAAACCGTCAGGGCAAATTTTTTTTCGTTTTGTTGATTTTATAGAGAGAGGGAGAGAGAGAGAGAAACATTGATGAGAGAGAACATCAGTTGGCTGCCTCCTGCACGCCCCCCGCTGGGGATCAGGCCCACAACCTGGGCATGTGCCCTGACCCGGAATTGAACCGGCGCCCTCTTCGTCCATGAATCAGTGCTCAACCACTGAGCCACACCAGCTGGGCTCCCTTCTCATCACCACTTGTCAGGGCCTATAGGGGCCAAGCACTCTGGAAATACAGCAGAGAAATCCGTTTAGTGAATGAAAACATTCATCAGAAGGGAAAGAAAACAAAAACAAAAACCTGTAACATATTCCTGGCAATTTTTTTCTTTCTTTTTCTTTTTTAATGCTCACCGAGAGAATTTTTCCATTTTTTTGTTCAGATAGAGCAGGAGGGAGAGAGAGGAAGAGAGAGAGAAAGAGAAACATCGACGTGAAAGGGACACATCGAGTGGCTGCCACCCGCACAACCCAACCAGGGACGGACAAACTGCAACCGAGGTACATGCCCTTAGCGGGAACCGAACCCAGGTCTCTCCGGACCGCAGGCTGATGCTCTAATCACTGAGCCAAACCGGCCAGGGCTGGAAATTTTAAAGCCATGGTGAGAAGTGAGGAGAGTAAACCAAGGGGTTCTGGTAAAATTTGATCTACTGTGAACTACTTAGTTTCACAGTAGGCTGTTTTACAAAAATTGTAAACATTGTTTGAATAACAGTGTTTGTTTATGCAAATATTTGTTACAAACTGTGAAAGAACACCTTGTAGCAAGGAACACGCACCAGACCCAGACGTGGTCTCACGCGGCTCCCCCGTCACAGAAGGGGGCTCTTTGGACAAACGCAAGCCTGCAGTGACCTGGAGCACAAGGAAGCAAGGGGGTGCTAAAATGAACACCCCCCCAACTCTGTGGGGTGTGCAAGAGGACATGGGGACCCTGGAAGGGCTCCCAGTGGCCAAAGCTGGAACTCTCAGCAACAGAACAAAAAACGTAGTTTGGGGTCATAACCCAAAGTATAAATCTCTTTTGCAGAGCTCCAAATAATGTGTATCGATTCCCTTCACCCCAAGGAGAGGGATCACCCCGCATCCCAGCATAGTGACATCCTCCCAAAAAGGACAGGATGCAAAGGGGGAGACAGAGAAACTCCACAGAAGAGGCACCTGGCAAACACACCTCAGCCAGGTGAACAAAGTCACATCAACAATAATGAGTCATGTTGAGGGCACAACCCCTGACATGACCGATGAGAAGGGCACTTTGCCTCTGTGGTCTTCCTCCCCTAAATCCACATGGCCAGACTAATAATGAGAGAAACGTCATACACATCCCAACAGAGAGACAGTCTGCACTGGGCACTGTCAAGGTCACTCAAAACAAGGAGCGTCTGAGGGGCAGTCACAGCCCAGAGGAGCCTGTGGAGACGTGGCCGCTAAATGTCATTTGGGACCCTGGAGCAGAAAAGGAACATAGGTTAAAAACTAAGGAGATAGCCATGGCTAGTGTGTTCAGTGGTTAGAGCGCAGACCTGTGGACCAGAGTCTCGGGTTTGATTCCGGTCAAGGGCATGTGCCTCGGTTGCGGTTCGTCCCCAGTCCTGGTTGGGGTTGTGCAGGAGGCAACCAGTTGATGTGTCCCTCTCACGTCACTGTTTCTCTCTCCCTTCCTCCCTCCCACACTATCTGAAGATAGTGGAAAAATATCCTCGGGTGAGGATTAAAAAAAACATGTAAGGAAATAGTCCAGCCGGTGTGGTTCAGTGGATTGAGCGTCGTCCCATGGACTGAGAGGTCCCAATTTGATTCCCGGGCAGGGCACATGCCAGGGTGGTGGGCTCGATCCTCAGTAGGGGGTGTGCAGGAGGCAGCCGATCGATGTTTCTCTTTAATTTTATTTATTTTTTATCCTCACCCGAGGACATTTTTCCATTTTTTGTTCAGGTAGAGTAAGGAAGAGAGAGAGAGAAACATCGATGTGAAAGGAACACATCGAGTGGCTGCCACCCGCACGACTGACCAGAGCCGGGGACAAACTGCAACCGAGGTCCGCGCCCTTAGCGGGAACCGAACCCGGGTCTCTCCGGACCGCAGGCCGACGCTCTAACCGCTGAGCCAAACCGGCCAGGGCCGATGTTTCTCTTTCATATCAATGTTTCTCTCTCTCTTTCTCCCTTCCTCTCTGTCTAAAAAAATCAATAAAAACATTTTTTTAAAAAAGTCTTAGGCCAGACAGCCAGAGCGACCTCCTTCTCAAGGGGAGGTGTGTTCAGAGCGGCTGCCCACAGAAGCTACGACACCCCTGGGCAAATGTACAGCAGGGACATTCCCCAACCAAACGGCCAGGCTGCCGGTGCAAGAACACACCGACGTCACAACCCCGTGGTGGACTTGCCCGGGAGGCGCCATGTCCCACGTGGGTTTCCAGCCAAGAAGAGCATTTGGACGGTACCTAACCGCGAGGAAACAGTCCAATTACACACACTGAAAGGCAGTCGGGAAAGCCACGGGCTTGGCCTCTCCAAAACGTAGTGTGAGGAAATGCCAGAACACAGCAGAAACGGCTCTAGAATAAGGGAACCTGGGAGACACAGCAGCCAAACGCATAATCCTCATCAGATCCTGGTGCGGAAATGATAAAGCCATAAAGCGTGTTCGGGAGGCAGAGAAAACTGAATAAGGACCGTGTGCTATTCACGTGTCCCAGGGGTCAGCACCCCGTTCAGGTCCTGTGGGAGGTCGGAGGGCATCGTTCTTAGCAGGTGTCCGTGGAAACACCTCGGGTCGCCTCACAAAATTAACATTATCGTTGATTATTAACTATCAATGAGTGGGAGGGAGAGAAAACAAACGTCAAAATATTGATTCTCGAATCGAGGGGAAAGGATGTTCCTTGTGCTCTTTCGTGGCTCTTCTGTAAACATGAAATTTATCTAAATGAAAGTGGGGAAAATTATATACAATTATGTAATTATACATATACACGATATGTATATTTTGTATGTTCAAAGTGGTCGGAACCAGTGACACGATCGTGGTGATTTTTCTGTGTCTTTTCCTGCGTTGATGGGGTATATCTGACTCACACATTCAGAAAGAAATTTTTTCATTTTCAAAAACATTTCATACATTATCCATCTTTTAGCCTGAAAATGGGGGAGCTGAGATTTTTCTAGGTGTTTACATGTCTGGTAGGGACAAGTAAAGGGCTCCATAATGACCCCCCCCCAATAGCAGCTACAACTCGGCCCCAGGTCAGGCTGGGGACTGTGAGAAGAAGGGGACACAGGGTCTCCAGGATCCCCCTCCCTTCCGCACCATCTCCCCAGGAACAGAGCTGAGCCAGGGTCCCAGGGACAATGACATCAGGTCCTGAAACCATCGGGTCTGGAAGGACGTGAGAGAAACCCACTACCCCTGCACCTCCCCCTCCTGCCACCCCCACCTGTCTCCCCCCCCCCCCCCGAACACAGGCCCTGGAAGCTGCCGGAGCTCAAAGGACCAGTAGTGATGTGGTTACTCTCTGCTTTCCTCCCTCCCCCTCCCCTGTGGGCCGTGGAGAAACCTACCAGATGACCGACAGGTGTTGTGAAGGGGTTAATAATCCTGTCAGGGGCTTGGCGTGGGACACAGGGGTCAGATGTCCCCCTCCGGAATGGGGACAGGCTGCTATTCCCAGCCTCTGATCACGCTGCCTATTTATAGCCCCGGGGGGGCCTTGGCCCCCCCCACACAAGCAGTGGAGAAGCTGCAATGTCAGTGCCAATGCCACTGCAGGCTGCTGGCATCTGCCACCCCGGAGGAGACAGAGGAGCCACAGCCAGGCCGGAACCCGCAGGCCGCCAGGCGCTGTGTGAGGCAAGGAAGTGGCCGGCCAGATGGGCAGCACCATGGAGCCCCCCGGGGGTGGGTACCTGCACCTGGGTGCTGTGACGTCCCCAGTGGGCACAGCCCGCGTGCTGCAGCTGGCCTTCGGCTGCACCACCTTCAGCCTGGTGGCCCACCGGGGCGGCTTTGCGGGCATCCAGGGCACCTTCTGCATGGCAGCCTGGGGCTTCTGCTTCGCCCTCTCCGTCCTGGTGCTGGCCTGCGAGTTCACCCGGCTGCACGGCTGCCTGCGCTTCTCCTGGGGCAACTTCACCGCGGCCTTCGCCATGCTGGCCACGCTGCTGTCCGCCACGGCTGCTGTCATCTACCCGCTGTACTTCACCCGGCTGCAGTGCCCTCCCGAGCCCGAGGGCTGTGCGGCCAGGGACTTCCGCCTGGCTGCCAGCGTCTTCGCTGGGCTCCTCTTCCTGGCCTACGCTGCGGAGGTGACCCTGACCCGGGCACGGCCGGGCCAGGTGGCCAGTTACATGGCCACGGTGTCCGGCCTCCTGAAGATCGTCCAGGCCTTCGTGGCCTGCATCATCTTTGGGGCACTGGTCCATGACAGCCGCTACGGGCGCTACGTGGCCACCCAGTGGTGCGTGGCCGTCTACAGCCTGTGCTTCCTGGCCACGGTGGCCGTGGTGGCCCTGAGCGTGATGGGCCACACAGGGGGCCCGGGCTGCCCCTTCGACCGCATCGTGGTGGTGTACACCTTCCTGGCTGTGCTGCTGTACCTCAGCGCTGCGGTCATCTGGCCTGTCTTCTGTTTCGACCCCAAGTATGGCGAGCCCAAGCGGCCCCCCGACTGCCCGAGAGGCAGTTGCTCCTGGGACAGCCAGCTGGTGGTGGCCACCTTCACCTACGTCAATCTGGTCCTCTATGTCGCTGACCTCGCGTACTCCCAGAAGATCCGCTTCGTGCCCACCTTGTAGCCCCTCAGGCAGCAGCCCGCCCACCTCTGCTCTCCGAGGTCTGGGCACCACGAGGGAGGGAGCCAGCGGAGGCTACCAGCACAGCCTCCTGGCCTTCTGGCGGCTCGGGAGGCGTGGGTGGGCAGAGAAGGGCCGGAGACCCTGAGCAGGACTCCGGAGGAGCTCCCCCGGGCAGCTCCCGGCCCTCTGTCTCTGTTGCTCCCTCTCCCTCCCTGTCTGTCTCTGTCTCTCCATTTCTTGGCCCTCCCTGGCTCAGCGACGGTCAGTCCTTCGCGAGAAACCCCCACTTTACAAATGGGGTCACTGAGGCTAGGATTTAGGCAGCCTTGCATGTCCATCCGTGTCTGGCGCCCACCTTCGGGCTAGGTAACCTAAGTAGAGCTGAAAAAGGGACAATTCCCAGAGGTGAGGGAAGGGGCTGGGAAGGAGGCCAGGAGAGAGCCAGAGCGGGGCCAGCAGAGGGGGATGGGGGCCAGCCCTTCCTCCAGCCTTCAGGGGGCAGTTCCCCAAACCTCGAGCGACAGCCAGGACAGCCATCGGAGCAGGGCCCTGCTGGGGAGGTCTGCGGCAGCTCCAAGAGAAGGAGCCGGAATCGGGACGCCAGTTCACCTGCCTCCTACTGGCCACAGACGTGGAAGCGGAGCCAGGACCGTGGTCCTCACAGGCGGCCTCAGTGGGCTGGATAGTATGCAGATGGCCTGCAAGGGCCCCGGAGGCCAGCAGCACCACCAAGAGGCACGCTGAGGAGAAGCTGGGCTCCCACCCAGGCAGGGCCCCCACCATTGGCCCCCACACAGGACCTGCTATGGGCCCAGGGGAGGCTGGCCTGGGGCAGCCACTGGGACACAGATCCTGGGCACCGGGCACCTCCCTGGTGCTCACAGGCCCGTGACCTCCATCCGTTCAAGTGTCCATTTGTCCAGCCTCTGACCACCTGGGCCCACTGGGACCATCATCCACCATACTCCAGCCTGTTCCCCTACTCGGTAGCCCAGCCTGGGCTGGCACGAGCAGCCTGCTGGCCGCCCCAGAGCACAGCGGACCCTCAACCCATCCACTGGTCCAGGGTCTTGGGCAGGAAATAAAGGTCAAAGCTGATTCGCACCCTGGCTCCGGCAAGCAGTGTCTGCACCTCCTGGGCCTTCCTTGCCCCACCCCCAGCATGCTCGGAGGAGAAGAGCCTAGACCCTGTCTGGCTGAGGGAGGAGATGGACTGGGGTCATCCAGGGTACTCTGGGGCTGAGGGACAGCCTCTGAGAAGGGGCAGGCAGTGTCCTCTCCCTGGGTGAGAATGAGCATGGGGAAGAGGGGGTGATGCAGGCTTGTCCTCCCCTCCCAGCAGCCCTCACCAGCACCCACACCCCAGCAGGGGCTTCTGGGGCCCTAAGCACAGCGGTGGGCAGAGGGGGGCTGCCCCACTGTGGTGGAAAAACCCCAGCGGGTTTCAGGCCGGGGCTCCAGGGCTCCCTGTGCTGGTGCCCAGCAGAGTGGGAGACAATGGGCCCCCAGCCCACTAGGGAGGACACTCTGACAGGGGTCCTTCACCCCAGGGGGCAGATTCCCAAAGGGGACAGGAGCCCATGTCCTGAGGTGTCCTGAGGGCCCCCACTGGCTGAGGGAGGGTTGAGGCTTAGGGGGCACATTTCCAGGTGACAAAGGAGCATTCGGGCCACACCCCTCCCAGCTCACAGGGAGACCTGGACACCAGTCACCGTTCCTTTTCTAGTCAAACTTCTGAAATGAGTTATCTGTCACCAAGTTCCCAATCCTCACGATTCAGAGGCCTCTGTCTCCAGTGCTCCACCCACACTAAGTTACCAAGGACCAAGGGGAAGACCGAGGAGGGGAGGGGATCCAGGGCTCGAGATGAGCCTGGAAGGTCCTCAGGCGGCTGGCCTGGGGGTGTTCCTGCTGACACAGTCAGGAGAGCACCTGGGCTTGCATCCAGGCCCCTTCCCTGAGCAGCCCCTCCCGGGAGAGTGAGGACTAGTGGTCAGGACAGACAGATGCCACTGAAGGCCTGGAACTCTGCCACACACATGATCACTCCACAGTGCTCCGGCAGCGGCGGTCCTTGTGTCAAAGAAAAGTCACAGCCTGCTCCTGTGGCACAGACATCCGAGTAATTCTGAAAATATGCTTTAGAACAGCGTGTCATTTAATTTGCAGAACCGATCACACAAAGCAGCTCACCCCTTCCCCTAGTGGAGGATGCGCTGTCCACAGGGGTTACTTCTTCCTTTGCCTTCACCCTGCTGCTGCCTGGGACCCAGGACTTGCCCAAACCCAGATGCCGACTCAGCTCAGGTGAACCCTGAGCTTGTCCTCCGGAGGGAAATCGACTGAGACCATGTTCTCCCAAAGACCCAGGGCCGAAGACTTCCACGGACGGTGCAGACAAGGAGACACTGGGGTGCTCTATGGGAGCTGGGGGCGCTGTGGGGTCCTCTTCCTGTGTACCACCTGCCTCAAGCTGCTTGTTGGGTAGGTTGATATGGCAACAGGCTTATGGTCTGAGTTGTCATGCAACTTCCAAAGGGGTCTGGCCCAGAAGAGACTTGTGGAGAAGCTCTGGGCGGAAGAAGCAAGGGAATAACCTAGACTTCCCGGTTCCTCCTGATCCTGGGATTCTGAGAAGGCCTGGGCTCTCTCCATTTTCAGAGCCTCCTGGTACAATAAAAAAATAATAAACAGCCCTGGCCGGTTAACCGTGGGCCTGCAGTCCAGAGAGGCCCGGGTTCGGTTCCCGCTGAGGGCACGTACCTCCCTTGCAGTTTGTCCCCGGCCCTGGTTGAGTCATGTGGGTGGCAGCCACTCGATGTTTCTCTCTCACATTGATGTTTCTCTCTCTCCTCTTCCTCTCTCTCCCTCCCACTCTATCTGAACAAAAAATGGAAAAATGTGCTCTAGAGAGGATAAAAAAATAAAGTCACAAGATACAGTATCAAACTAGTGACAGATTTTAAATGTTTCTGTTTGGCAAACTGTTTCCACCCCTCCTGCTATCACCACCAAAATATGCAAGACAGCAAAAAAGCAAGAAAAAATTCTATACAGTAGGACTCCTGCAAACGTGATGGTCGTGTTAGTAACAGGTCTGGGCTCACAGCCAGAGCCCGCCACGAGGTGGGGGACCCCAACCAGACATGTCCGTGTTCATGTGGCCCACGACAGAGTTCCGCGTGGGGAGCCCCATGACCAGAACAACTCCTTGAGTACCCCTCTTCCGCCGACCCTTACCCCCGCGTCCTCAGTCCCCACGTACGGCCCTGGAGGCCCGGATCTGGGGGGGGCGGGTCAGGGGGCGAGGCCCCGAGGGCCTGGGGTACAAAGGCACGGGGGTGGGGGGGTTCGGTGTGCACGGATCTGGGCAGCAGGGGCGGGGGAGGGGTTCCAGGGGACCGGGTCCTGGAGGCGCGGATGCGGGGGGCGGGGGGCGGGGGCCCCTGGGTCTCCTGTCCAGGGGGTGGCGGGGAGACAGAGCTGTGCTGGCGGGGGCGTGGGCCTGAGCGAGCGGATGATGCAACCCCCCTCCGCGCCGCCCGCGCCTCCGGATTGGCCGGCGCTCGGTCGGCAGCGCTGTGGATTGGCTGGGGCGTCGGAGGAGGGGCCCGCGGGGCGCCGATGCCGCGTGGCTGGCGCCGAGCTGCGGGCGGGGGGCGACCTGAGCTGGGTAAGTCGGTAACTGGGTGCGGGGCTGGGGTCGGGCTCCCGCAGCTGGGTCGTGCTTCCCGCTGGGGCAGAGGCGCGTCTGCACCCCCGGCACCGGGCGGTGGATGCTAGGACTGGAGGGTCTTGCCCCTGGGGGGCCTCCGGGCGGTCGCCTCCCGCCCGCCGCTCCCGACCCCTTCTGTAGGCCGGCTGGCTCCTCCCTGCTCCCTGTCCCGGGACCCTCGGGAGCAGGTCGGGGATGCTGCTGTAGCTGGGGGTCGGAGCAGTTACTGGGCGGGAGCTGTAGGGAAAGTTAGACCGGCTTGGCGGGGGCAAGGGGGGCAGGGGGGGCAGCTGGCCGGCGGTGGAGTGGCCAGGCCTGGCACTGCCCACCTAACTTCCCGCGCCAGATCCTGCCCCGTCTCCTACCTCAGCGGAGCAGGTGCCAAGTCCGAGGGCTGTGGGCGCTCCACCATGAGTGTGGGCTTCATCGGGGCTGGCCAGCTGGCCTGGGCCCTGGCCAAAGGCTTCACGGCAGCAGGTAGGCCCTGTGGCCAGGAGGGGACCCAGCCCGCGAGGGTGGGCGGTTACCCCTCTGCCGTCGGGGGAAGAAGATGGGGGTCTGGATAACATGCCTGTGGGAAATGGCAGCCCCGGGTGTTTGGGGTCCAGCAGGGGTTGCTCTTAACCCTGGGTGGTGGGATGTCCTTCCTGGGAATGTGGCCTTGAGGGAGGAACTCTTCCCTGTAGGCGTCCTGGCTGCCCACAAGATAATGGCCAGCTCCCCAGACATGGACCTGGCTACCGTTTCTGCCCTCAGGGTAAGTGCAGGTGTCTGCCTCCGGGGTGGGGGTTCGGACAGCCTAGACCTTGGAGAGCCAGGAGTAGGGGGACACCATGAAGCAGCCTGCCTCACCAGCGAGAGGAGGGGCCCTGGGCCGGAGCATCTCACAGACCTTGCTGTGCTCTTGGGACGTGGGTATTGGGCACCTGTGTACCTGGTGGGGAGGGGGTGCTGGTCTGGTATGGGGAGCTGTGGGGGCTGGGCAGATGGGGTCCTAGTGCCGGGCCAGGTGAGACACATCTGGGGCTGATACAGCTTTGGTTTGCCATAGCTGAGGTAGGGCTCTAGATCCAAGGGTGGGACAGGTACCCAGCTTGGGACCACCACTTGCACCCAGAGAGCAGAAGGCGGGGACCTGGGGCAGCAGTCCCAGGAGGGGTGGGCCAAGGCTGTGACATGGATGCAGTGTCCCTTTTCTGTTTGCAAAAGGAACACACTCTAGAGCAGAATGCTTCCTCCTCTTTTGGGTGGGAAGGGTGGTTAGGGTGTCAGCCCCTTTCCCTGAGCCCCTAACCAGGTCAGGCCCACACTCCCTGCAACCTCTGTGCTGGTCCTCATTATAGCTCGGCTTGGAGGAGGGATGCTGGGTGTCCAGCCAGCTATGGGGGCAGGCTGAGCCCACCTCGGCATTCTCCGCAGAAAATAGGGGTGAACCTAACCCCCCATAATAAGGAGACGGTGCAGCACAGTGACGTGCTCTTCCTGGCAGTGAAGCCACACATCATCCCGTTCATCCTGGACGAGATCGGCGCCGACATCGAGAACCGGCACATCGTGGTGTCCTGCGCAGCCGGTGTCACCATCAACTCCATTGAAAAGGTGGGTGCTGCGGGTCCAGGCCCAGTGGGGTTTAGAGAGGGGGTGGAAGCGTGTGCTGCAGAGTGGTCAGGAGCTCTGGCCCTCTTGGTGCCTCGGTTCTCCGTCTGTGAAATGGGTGTGTTGGCCCAGCCCACAGTGAGAACTCAAGAAATGCTCAGTTAGATAAGCATGTTCACACTCTCACCCAGCACATCCTGCTGGGCACAGGGCTGGGATGGACACACCGCTGGTTTCTTCTCCAGAAGCTGATGGCGTTCCAGCCGACCCCCAAAGTCATCCGCTGCATGACCAACACGCCGGTCGTGGTGCGGGAGGGGGCCACCGTGTATGCTACGGGCACCCATGCCCAAGTGGAGGACGGCAGGCTTCTGGAGCAGCTCATGGGTAGTGTGGGCTTCTGCACGGAGGTGGAGGAGGACCTGATCGATGCCGTCACGGGGCTCAGTGGCAGCGGCCCAGCCTATGTGAGGACTGCGGATGGGTGGGCAGCAGCTGGCGGCGGTGGGAGGACCTCAGGGCACATCTGCCTATCCTCCACCCTCCTCCCTGCCCCGGCTGCTTTGGGCAGAGCTTCTGGACAACCATTGTCTGGAGGAGAACTGGCCTGGGACAGTGGCACCTTCTCCCTGCAGGCGTTCACAGCCCTCGATGCCCTGGCTGATGGGGGTGTGAAGATGGGGCTTCCCAGGCGCCTGGCAGTCCGCCTTGGGGCCCAGGCTCTGCTGGTCAGTCATTTTCCTGTGTGGTGGGGCAAGAGGCTGGTGCACTGGAGTGGATGGGTGGAGGGCCAGTGGGTGCCACGGTGGCTGGAGCTGTGGGCAACGTCCTGCGCATGTAGGTGGGTGCCCCACAGCCATCGTCCCCTCTCTCTGCCTGCAGGGGGCTGCCAAGATGCTACTGGACTCAGAGCAGCACCCAGGCCAGCTCAAGGACAACGTCTGCTCTCCCGGAGGGGCCACCATCCACGCCCTGCACGTGCTGGAGAGTGGGGGTTTCCGCTCCCTGCTCATCAACGCTGTGGAGGCCTCCTGTATCCGCACACGGTCAGCCCCTGCTGCTGCCGGCTCCCTGGCCTCCCACCCAGCATACCAGAGCCCTCAGCCCTGAGTCTGCTCAGTCATTCACTCAGATGTTTATCGAGCTCTGGCCTGGCAGCGGGCAGGGCACGGGGAGCCCCAGAGCTCCCAGGAGTACGGTTTGCAGTGCTCCTCACCATCGTCCTGCAGGAGAACCTCTGTGGGTCTGGTGATAACCCTTCCACCCGGCCTGGTTGGGGAGATTAAGCAGGTTAGACCAGCCGGCGCAGCGCACTGGCTTGGTGAGAGCTCCGTGATAGTGACAGAAAGCCAGAGCGGGATGGAGTTTGCCGTGTGGGGCCCCACATCGCCGTTCCTAGTTCGGGTCTCGAGGATGGACGGGCATCTTTCTCATCCCCCTGCCTGCCCTCCTGGCACCAACCTGCAGTGGAGACAGGCACATGTCCTGTGCTCGGGGCAATGAGGGCTCAGAGTCAGGGCTGCTAGATTTGGTGAGTCTGAGCCAATTTGAATGAGATGAGAGGGAGCCAGACGGCAGTCTAGGGGAGGGTAGCTGGCAGAGAGCCGCAGGTGCAAGGGCCCTGGGCTGGCAGGCGCTGGGAGCTTTGGCCCTGCTCCCTCTTCCCTCATGGACACCTGAGCTCAGGGAAGAGGTGGAGCCCTGTACTCAACCCCCCTCACTGCTTCCCCAGGGAGCTGCAGTCCATGGCTGACCAGGAGAAGGTCTCACCAGCTGCCATTAAGAAGACTGTCTTGGATAAGGTGAAGCTGGACTCCCCTCCAGAGGCCTTGCTGGCCCCTTCAGGCCACTCCAAGCTGCTCCCCCGCAACGTGGTCCCTGCAGGCAAGAAGGACTGAGGTGTCCCACCTGTGTACCAGGCCACCTTCTCTCTACTGGGCTCGGACTCCTGTACTGGGTGTCATGTCCTCACGGTAGCCCACTGCCCATGTGTCTGGTCACCTTGGGTCAACCAGGGTCACAGCCAAGGAGTGGGTACATCATTTCCTAGTGGGAATCTCCCTGAGTACTTCCTGGCCCAGAAGAAGGATGGGCTGTGTGATCTCAGCCTCCCCCTTTCTCCGCCCTGAACCTAGAAGGGGTTTCACCTCCCAGTGTCAGCTGGCTTGGGGTTTGACCTCTTCCTGGGCACAAAGGTCAAGGTTCCCCTTCCTGAAGGCCCAGCCAAGGAAAGAGCCCCGTCTCATACCTGCCACTTTCCCGACCTCCATTTGCAGGGAGACACCTTTCTTGGTGTGGGAAGGACCAAAGGAGTCCTATGCATCCTGAGGGTAGTGGGAAGGACCATGGTTCTTGGCTGGCTGCCACCTACCCTTTGTTCCCATTTGACACTTGAGAAAAGTACTCCTCAGATAGTTGGACTTCCAAGGTCACCGGAACACTCAGGCCACTGTCTCTCATTCCTGACCTGACTGACAGATGTTTACACTTCTCCCCTTGACCTTTTAGTTGAAATAAATAGGTTTTCAGCCCAATGCCCTAACTTCTAACTTTGTCACCATGTGTGGAGGGATGCCCCAGGTGTCCCAGAGGGTTGTTGCTATTGGTGTAATATTAGGGGCTGAGCCAGTAGCCCATGGCCAAGAGTCCTTGCTTCCCAGGTAGCCAGGCTGTGGGTGGGGGGTGGAGGACGCGGGGAGATCTCCTGGTGAGCAGAGGGAAGGGAGCCTCTGGGGAAGTGTGCAGCCCCTCAGAACACAGTCAGCAAAAGTGTGACAAGCCCGGCTGGTGTGGCTCAGTGGTTGAATGTTGACCCGTGTACCAAGAGGTCGCTGGTTGGATTCCGAGTTAGGGCACATGCCCGGGTTGTGCACCAAATCCCCAGTAAGGGGCATGCAGGAGGCCAACAATTGATGTTCTCTCTCATCAGTGTTTCTGTCTCTCTCTCTCTCTCTCTCCCTCTCTAAAATCAGTAAAGGAAAAAAAAATTTTTTTTTAAAAAGTGTGACTGGAAGTTGGTACTATAGGCTGGGCTTGACCTGCCCTTCTGTGTGAGTGGAGTGGGGGCACCAGCTTCTGCATTCTCCATGCCTCCTGACTTAGTGGGGGCACATGTCTCCCCAACTTACCCAGGCAAGGGCAGGTGGGGCAGGAAGCCCTAGGGAGCTAGCTGTATTAGAAACAAACAGGACATGGAAGTAGATGTTAGAATAGATATAAAGAGATTTATTATAAGGAAGTGGCTCACAGCTGTGGGAGCTAACAAGTCCACTCTGGAGGATGGGCTGGCAGGCTGGATCCCCAGATAGCTGACGTTCCGATTACTAGGTCATCCGGCAGGGAGAGCCCATATTGCTGGTGTGTCTGAAGGGAGAGAATTCTTTCACTCCAGGGAGGGTCAGTCTCTGTTCTATTTGGACCTTCAATTGATCGAATGAGGCCCACCCACATTATGGAGGGTGATCTGTTAAAGTCTACCCATTTTAGTGTTAATCACGTGTACAAACACCCTCACAAAAACAGGCAGTATATTTGACCAAATATTTGGGCATCTCGGGTCCCGGTCAAGTCGACACACAAAATTAACCGTCACAGGAGGCGCACAAGCTGCTGAGGGTCAGAACCCCTTACCCGGCCAGGAGTGTTCCTATTTGTTCAAACAGTTGCAGAGCAGGGAGACAAGGAGAGGCCCCTTGCATCAGAGGTGGACATGCTCACTTCCATCCCCGAACTGAGAGTCTAGGATGTCCGAGCGGTGGTGTACCCTGAAGGGCAGCAGGGGTGATCAGGGGAGCTGAGCAGAGGTTTCCAAGAACCGCACTGCAGCGGCTCATCTCCAGTTCTCTCCCTGGGCCCACTTAGAACCGAGGCCCAGCGCACGCGGGTGGGCGAATGAGGCACTTTGGGGACAAGGGGAGAGGGGAGACACCGGAAAACGGAAGAAAATGCAATACGCCAAAAACAAGGGGCAGACTGCTTTCCCAGTTTCTGCCAGGGTGGCCTCAAGGCCTGGTCACTCCGCACGCACCCACGGCCTGTGGCCAGGGCTGGGCCTGGAGGGCTTGTGGGACTTTGTGCCCCTGCATCGCCCATCTAAGGCGTGAGCCCCAAGCAAAGACCCCACCCCACCCCAGCGCAGGTGAAAGCGGGCCCTTTGGACACGTGGCCTTTGAAACTGTCAGCACACAAGGGGCAGGAAAGCTGCTGCACTGGCCACTAGGCCCCGCCCTGCGGGCCGGGGAGGGGGCGTGGTCTTCGGAGAGCGCGCGCCCCGGCTAGTCCCGCGAGACCCCGCCCGGGCAGGGCGCGGCGCGCGTTGCCGGGGCGACAGTGCCCGGGCGCGCCTGCGCATTGCGGCCGCGCCCCGCCTCCGCCGCCGCGCCTTCCCCTTTAAGCCCTGGCCGGTCGCGCCGCCGCTTCATGAATGGAGCCCACGTGACCAAACATCATGTGACGTCTGTGGAGCGGCGGCGGCGGCGGCGGCGGCGGCGGCGGCGGATCCCGAGCCTGGTCCGGCCCGGCCTTCCCAGCGCGCTCGGCCCGGCCCGCGCAGGCGGCGAGCCCCCACCCCGGGCCCGGAGCCCCCGCGCGGCCCATCCCCGCGCAGCCTCGGAGCGCCCGCCGCCCCCCGCCCCGGCCTCGGTCCGCCCGGGCCCGCAGTGTGGTGGGTGAGTGCGGCGGCGGGCCCAGGCGGCCGGGGGGCGGGGGGCGGCGGGGGGCTCCGCGCCGGGTGCAGCCGGCGGGGCCGCGGTTCCTCCGGGTGGGCCCGAGCGGCGCGGGCCGGGCGCTCCTGGCGTTGGGTCTGCCCCGCTCTCTGCCGGCGGCCCGTGCCTCGATTTCCCCACTGGCGGGGCAGTGCTGGCCGCTGCGCCCGGGCTGCGGGGGTGGGCCGCGGGCCGGCGGAGGGCTGGCGGGCCGGCGGGGCGGGCGCGCGGCTCGCCCGGCGGAGGCCGGGGCGTCCTGGAGGGAGGGGCGGCCAGGGTGGCGGGAGGAAAGGGTGGGGTCGAGTGGGGCGCCCGGGGCCCCGCGGAGGAGCCCCGCGGCTCGGCCGGGCTGCTGATTCATCAGGTGTCTGTGTCGGCGCCTTCGCGGGCGCTGGGCCGGGGGCCGGGCCGGCCGGCTCGGGGGCGCTGGGAGACCCTGCTCGCGCCGCTCCGCGCCACACGCGTGCCAGAGCCCGAGGGAGACTTGCTGAGTCATCAGCATGAGGTCACTCGCTGCTCATCCCGGTGCCTGGGGGATTGGGGCTGCGGCCTGGGGCTCACAGGCCAGGAAGCAGGAGGTGGAAGGGACCGTGGGCACGAGGGGACCGGCCTAGGCCCCGGGGCTCGGGCGGCTTTTCAGTTTGGACTGAGGTGCAAGTTGAAGGCCGGGTGGCGAAGAGGAAGTGGAGGGGCCCCCGACGCGGTAGAACGTGAAGCCCCCGGCCTGGCCAGTCTTCCTAGGCATGCTCTTCTCTGGCGGCTGGTCCCCGACCCACGTCTGGGACAGTTCCCCAAACTGGGAAATAGTTCTCTGAGTGAGAGAAGGGGAGGAGCTTAGAGGGGCCGTGCTAGGGAACGGGAAGCAGGCTTTCCCTGTGAGTGGTCTGGTCGGCCAGGCTTTGCGCCCCTGGGCGGGGAAGAGAGGGGTACCTGGACTACAGAGAGAGAAAGAGGCTGGGGAGGTCTGCAGGGAGGGGCAGCCTGGGTGGCGGGAGGAAAGGGTGGGGTCCAGAGGGGAGCCCAGTGCTCCGTGAAAGAGCCGGGCAGAGTACACCTTGTACTGAGTCCTGGGTGACAGTGGACAGGACAGTTGGCAAGCAGGCTCGGCTCTACCAGGAAATTGCAAATAAGAGGAAGCGGCAGGACTTAGACATTGGGGACCAAGGTGTCTGGTGAGCAGGCCCTGTCCCTCTTTGTAGTCGGGCCTTGGGGTCTGGGTTGAGGCTGCAGGTGGTGGGAGCTTGAAGGGTGCCTAGTCCTCAGGGCACACAGCAGGTAAGCTGGGGTAGAAGAATGCAGTTCCCAGTCACCCCAACCTTGTCCCCCTGGAGGTCGTGGCTCGATGTTATTAAGGTTAGCAGAGAATGTGTCCCTGATGGATGTCAGGCCAGGTGGTGGGGACAATTGGAAAGTGACAGCTTGAGGTGTGTCCTGGGACACCTCTTAAGGGTGTATGGGTAGTTCTTGGCCTCTAAAGGTGGGGGAGTGTCTTTGTCTAGATTAAAGTGAGGACCCTTCCCCGGGGATTTATATCTGCAGAGATTTGCCTCCACCACCACAGGGTGGGGCAAAAATAGGTTTATAGTTGTGAGTACATGAAACACAGAGTTTATTCTTTTATTATTAATCATTCTCCATACAAACAACTGTAAACCTACTTTTGCCCCACCCTGTACACACACACACACACACACACACACACAGCCACAGCCACACAGCCTGGGGCTTAGAGATACCAGATCTTTAACAGTCCAGCTGCCCTGGCTGGTTTGCCTGAGCCGTTGGAGCGTCCGCCTGCGGTCCAGAGAGACCCGGGTTCGGTTCCCGCTAAGGGCACGTACCTCGGTTGCAGTTTGTCCCTGGCCCTGGTTGGTCGTGCGGGTGGCAGCCACTCGATGTGTCCCTTTCACGTGAATGTTTCTCTCTCTCTCTCTTCTTCTCTCTCCCTCCCACTTTATCTGAACAAAAAATGGAAAAATGTCCCCGGGTGAGCAAAAACAAAAACAAAAACGGTTCAGCTGATCCTTAGGCTGGAATTTTTGCTCTAGCAGAATGTGGGCTCCTGGAGGGGTGTTTCTTTAAGGCTCCCCACTTACGCACACTTCAGTAGAAGTTCAGTTTCAGATTTTCTCAGAGTGGCTTTCAGCGGACGAGAGCTTCTGGAGGAGGTGGTCTGAGGGCCGGGTGGGGTGAGGCTGGGAGGTCTGATCAAGGTTTGCAGGCCAGCTGTTGAGCCTTCTGCCCAATGTCCGTGCCTTGGAGTTTGGGCCTGGGGCAAAGCTAGAGTTACCTGAATCTCTTTCCCTTTCTGACTGACTCTCGGGCCTAAGCGGGCAGTCCAGGGAACTTTGGTGGCTTAGGGCCATCTAGGCCTTCTCCAAGTGGACTCATCTGGGGAGTGGAGAAGGAAGGATGCCCGAGCCCCAGTTTGAATAAGCCTTAGGGATGAGGAGGAGGGATGGGGTGGTAGCTTCTTTTTCTTTTTTTTTTTGGTTATCCTCACTCGAGGATATTTTTCCCCCATTGATTTCTCAGTGAGAGTGGGAGGGAGAGAGAGAAACATCTATGTGAGAGACACATTGACTGGTTGCCTCCTCTACGCAGGCTGATGCTCTAACCACTTAGCAACACTGGCCAGGGCAGGATAGTTTCTTGACCTCGCCTTTGGGGTCTCCTCCACCTGGCTTCTAGAGGTGCACTGAGCCATCACTGCCATCCCATCCCCAAGGCCATCTCTATCCTGTCAGTGTGTGTCCCCAGGTGGGCGGAGGCCAGGCCAGGCACTTGGCAGTCCTGGCTTTATGAGGCCTGCCCCTCCCCCAAGTGCTCACGCACACCTTTGATTAGGATGCCACTGGCTGCACTTGTGCTGAGTTCAGGCCTTCTGCGGAGGGTGAAATCTGTCGAGGAGGCACTTTTCTGTGATCTCTTCAGGAAGTCACCGCTGCGCTCAGCATTGGGGGTGGAGGGGGCGTGGTGGTGGGAAAAGCTGGTGCCAGGGCTTTTCCTTTGGAGCGACCATGGTAGGACCCAGGGCAGTGTCACTGCACAGCAATGTGTTCTGCCATGAGGGCCTGGCCCCAGGGTGGTCAGGGGTCCTGAGGACCTTCTTGCCTCTGGTTCTGGTCTCCCCATCTGCTACCCTGGAAGAACCAGGCCCTGGAGCTGCAGGCCTGCCTGAAATTCAGGGTGGCCTGGCTGGGGGGATGCCTCTGGCCTCCCAGTGCAAGGCTGGGGGGTGGGGTCTGCCATGGAGCCCACTTGTGCCTTTACTTCCCAAGCCCACGCTTGAGCTCCCAGTGAGGGTAAGAAGCCCTTCTCAGGCCAACATTACCTGAAGTGCTTGTGGTGTCCTCTGGGAGGGAGCCTGGGGTCTGTCTTAGCTCCCCAGCATTTACCTCCCTGCCTCTAACCAGGAAAGGAGAGTGCAAAGCTGGGGGTGGGCAGCCAGTCTGGTGGTGGCTGGCTGAGCCAGGAGTCATACGCCTAGGCAAGCAAAATTGTTCTTGGCAGGGCTTTAGGAAGCAGAAAGTGAAGGTGGGGTGTGGGAAGGGTAATCACGTGGGTGGGAGGGGGCCCTGGGTCCAGCCACCTAGCCCCTTTGCTTTGGTCCGGTGCCCTGTGGGTGCTGACTCCGGACAGGGGGCCAGGGAGCAGCCATTGGCCCAGAGGGGACTGAGTAGTCCCCTTGAATGGCTAACTGTAGGCACTCTTGTGAAATGCCTTGGGCAAGGAGGGCAGGGGCGCGACATGCTGCAACCCAAAGCCACAGGATGATTACTCCATCAGCAACTGGGTGCCTGCCTGCCACCTGGAGGGTGGGGGCGCTCCCGCCAGAGCTAGTTGGACAGCCCACTTGCCGTTCTTCAAAGTGGGAAGTCCTGGGAGAAGCAGGATGCCCCTGGTCCTCCCCTCTGCCTGAGTCCCCAGTGGGGATGACCCTCGAAGCCTTGGTGAGAGCAGGGCTTTGTCCTAGGCCAGCTGGGGGGCAGGTAGGACCCTCGAGTACACACGTGCAGGGTTGCTGGCCCTGGCCCTCACCTGCTGTGGCCAGGCTGGCCTTTCTGACCTTAACAGCTTTCTGCTCTGGCTGCTGGTCCCCTGGGGCTGTGTTGGCTGGCAGGAGTGATGTGCTGAGTCAGCATGACTCGCCAGGAACAGCCGCTCTGGGGCGCACACTGGGGTTATTTTTAAAAGCTCTGGGCTTCCTTCTGGGCTGGCCCCTCCCGCACCCTTCTAATCTCTCCCCCAGCCCCTTTTTTTGCCTCTGCCTCCCTCACACTCCTTCAATTTCCCTTTCTTCCTTGGACCCTCCTGCCCTCCACCTGGTTTCCTAGGGGCCGGGTAGACAGGGAGCAGCCCAGCTCAGGAGAGGCAAGGCCTGAGGGCCGTCCGCGGGGCCAGGTATTGGGGAATGGGCAGGTGGGGCGAGAGTGGGGGTGTGGAGGGGAAAGGGGGTCTCCAGGGTCCTGATGTCTTCTCCCTGTCTTGCAGAGTGCCTGCTTGCTGTGCCCCCCGGGTTATGACGACCCCCAATAAAGGAAACAAGGCCTTGAAGGTGAGCAGGCAGGGTGGGCACATTTCGGGGCTGGGGTGGCACAGGGATGGTGGCTGTTCAGCCAGTGACCTTGTGCACTGTGCCGCCCAGGTGAAGCGGGAGCCAGGTGAGAATGGCACCAGCCTGACGGACGAAGAGCTGGTGACCATGTCTGTGCGGGAGCTGAACCAGCACCTGCGGGGCCTGTCCAAGGAGGAGATCGTCCAGCTAAAGCAGCGCCGGCGCACGCTCAAGAACCGTGGCTATGCCGCCAGCTGCCGTGTGAAGCGGGTGACGCAGAAGGAGGAGCTGGAGAAGCAGAAGGCGGAGCTGCAGCAGGAGGTGGAGAAGCTGGCCTCAGAGAACGCCAGCATGAAGCTGGAGCTGGACGCGCTGCGCTCCAAGTACGAGGCCCTGCAGAACTTCGCCAGGACCGTGGCTCGTGGCCCCGTGGCTCCGGCTCGGGGCCCCCTTGCTGCCAGCCTGGGGCCCCTTGTCCCCGGCAAGGTGGCTGCCACCAGTGTCATCACAATAGTAAAGTCCAAGACGGACGCCCGGTCGTAGGGACGCACGCTTGCCCAGGCGGGTCTGTGAGGGGCCACTAGGCACATGGTGAATTTGGCAGCCCTGTCCCCTTCTTCCTCCTCTCTTCCTCTCTTCCTCTCCTACCTCCTCCCTTCCCTGCAAAGCACAACCTGCACCCCAGGGGCGCCGGGCTGAGCCCCTTGATCTCGTCGTTGTCATCGTGTGTTTTGTACGTTGGGATTGGTCAGTTCGGCGGTGACGTGGGGTCACACCTGCCCCCTTTGTACCAAGGCCATGTGGGCTTGGAATCCAGAATTGGCCCTTTGGGAATAGATAGAAAGACCGAGCGAGCTGTGGGGCTTTTGAGGGTCCCTGAGCAGGGAGGGCATCAGGGCAGGATGGCTGCTTTCTCTCCCGAGTGGCCCACAGGCCCTGAAGTTGGGCTGGCACAGGGCCGGGTGGATCACTTGCAGCTCAGCCAGCAGGCATAGATGGGCTCTGCCCCGAGGAGCAGGGTGTCCTTGAGGGCCCTCGACAGGCGGGCCACCGGCCTGGGTGCTGGGGGGATGGGGTGTCGTGTGGCTGTGGGCCAGGGGCCTCCGTGCGCTCAACTGGCACATTGCACTGAACAAGACCAAATCACTGGTTGTGAGCGTACGTGAAGGGTGTGTCCAGTGTCCTGCAATGGTCCCGTGTCACTGTTTACATGACCTATTTGTGTGGTTACATAGCCCTTTATTTAAAAGAGAGAAGTTCCTTTTACGAAGTTATTAAATTATATGTTTAAAAGCTAAAGAAAAAAAAGAGCTGCAGAGTATTTATAAAACTGTCTTTTTACAAAAAACAAGCAAGAACATTTGACCATATAAATGGAAAAGGGAAGAAATTATAATAGAAACTTTGCTAGTTTAAAAAAAGAAAAAAAAAAAAGCCCTTTCTTGTAAACTTACAGACAAGTCTTTGTGGCTGTTGAAGTTTAGTTTTTATATACACAGAGTTATCAGATGTTATTTATAAAACTTAGTTTAAAAAAGACAAAAAAAAAAAAAGCCAAGCCGCGAGCGACCAGAAGGCGCGTCCTCACGTCCTCTTTGCTGACTCTTTTGCAATTGTACCGAAAGTGACTTACTCCTTCGCCCGTCCTGCTTCCGGCTCCGCCGGTGCCTGGTGTCGTCCGTGCCTGGTGAGGTCTTGTGCAGCGTCTCGTGCTGGTGCTTCTGGTGACCTTTGACCTGTGGGTGTCGCTTGTGTCTGTTCTCCTGTGTTTGTTTTGGATTTGGTTGTGTTTTGCTTCTGCCGGCTTGCTGGGCACAGGCTGGGATGCCGGGCGGGACCCGCTCCAGCAGAGTTTGGGGGTTCTGTGCCCACCAGCCCAGCCTCACTGCCTGCCCCAGGTTGCCAGGAGGTCCAATTTGGGGCTCTGCCGCTCCCACCCCTGCTGCCCCTTGGCTTTGCATGTGTGTGTCAGGCTTGGGCTGATCCAGTGGCAGGGTAGGTGAAACTGGGGGCTATCCTGGGGGGGCCCTCATGCAGCTTCCGTGCCCACTGCGTCTGGCCCCCAGTGGGGGCTTTGCAGACCAAGGAGTCACTGTTGGTGCCCACGGGGTGATGGCCAAGCTGCCTGCCCCTAGCTGTCTTCCTCCTGGTGTTCAGTCAACCTGCTCCAGCTCTGGCCGCTGACCCCAGCTTGGTTCCTTGAGGCTTCCTATGGGTCTCAGCAGGGTGCCCAGCGGTCCACTTATCCCAGAACTGTTTCTGTGCTTCGGGCGGTGCTTCCTAGGCAGAACCAGGTGGTTTTGGGGCCCCCTGGGGTGGCCCCTTCTGAGGGCCTGGGAGTCTCCACCAGTATCAGACAAGGGCTACAGTTTCCAGGGCCAGGTCCTGTCCCCTTCTCTCCTGAACATGCTGGCAGCTCTCGGCTTCAGGCCTTCTTCCGCCTCCCTTTGGGATCTGTGTCTTCCAGGGATCCAGTGCTTGGCTTGTGGAGGTCCTCTGGGGTTGAGCCCCCCTCCCATCCCGGCCACTCGGTGGAGGCAGCCGGTCTCCCAGGCTTGGCTTGGAAGGCTCCTCATAGGCACGTGACAGGGGCTGCCTGTGGTGTCCGCCCCCGAGAGGCCAGTACCGTCTCTGTGGGCCTTGACCTCTTCTCGGAGTTGCTGGTTGGCTTCTCTGGGGGTCCTGAACCCCTGAAAAGCACAGAAGTGCAACAGAGTGGCCTGGCAGAGTTTCACCTGGTGTTCAGCAGGATTTTCATCCTAGAGTTGGACCCAGTGCCTGTGGGATGGGAGCAGCGACATGCTGTCAACGTCGGCCATCTTGATGGGCTTCTCTGGGTCCTAGATGTTCAGAGACATTCCCTGTTGTCCCTGGGTCAGCCTGCAATGGAGATTTTGACTGTTGATTCCAGATCACTTAGTGGCCTCCTCCCCCTCCAGTCTGCCTCTGTCTTGTAGGATCCAGATGACAGTTGTTGATGGTTGTAGCAGCAGTGTGTTGGAATCGCATTATAACAGTCCCCAAAGAGAGGTCATGCCCAGTCCTGGTGCTGGGAAGGACAGCTGTCCATGTCCGTTTACTGTCCCCACTTTTGTCCTGGCTGGGAGGTGGTCGTCCATCTCCATCTCTGCACACCTCTGCCAGGCTGTGGACCTGGAGAATGGAGGGAGGATGTGGGGGCGAGGAAGGGGAGAGGAAGGGTTGAGAGTGGGCAATGCTGAGCAGAAATTGCAGGTCATTGGTTTGGTTTATAGAAGAAGCTTCTGGAGTTAGTTAGGCCATGGTTCCTTTCAGGGTTTTTGGATTTGAAGCAACTGCTCCTTGGGTCTAGGGGTGCATCCAGTTCTTGTCAAGCCACCCTGCAGGCCCACCCCACCCTTTCCCCCTTCCCCTTGGTTTCTTCACAGTAGGTTCTGTGTCCACATGTGACTGGTTGGTGTCTTTCTGATTCTTGTTCATTCGTTTTTCCTACTGTGAGGGTATTGTGTTCCCTCTTTCTCTCCTCAACTTTTCTGACACAGTGAATCGAGGGCTTTGGCCAAAGCCAAGTTTCCCAGACGTGTCCACTAAGTAAACCATGCCGTGCACCTCCCCTCCCACTTGCCCTCACCCGACTCCTCCCTTACCCCAACATGGACACTCAGATTTCAGAGGAGAATCCTGTAGGAACAGGTCAGCTCCTTCCCAGAGCATGGCCCCAGGGAGGCCTCCCTAGGCCCCTGGCTGCTGCTCCAGGTGGCACTGCCCTTTGTACAAGTGAGAAGACATGGCTGCTCTGTGGCAGCTAGGAGGGTTGCTGGTTTCTACTGGGGCTTCTTTCCTCTTGGTCCACACGTTAAGTCTGTGTGCACAACCCTGACTGTCGGCAGCAACCTCAGTGGTCAGTGCCCAGGCCCACAGCTCTGATGCGGGAGCCTGCTTTCTGACGGCTGGTCAAGCCCCATCTGGTCTCTGCTGCCTCCAGCTCTGAGGTGGTGTGTTGGTCAAAGCTCCCATCCACAGCTGGGAAGCCCGAACCACAACCTACAGCACCATTTCCTCTCTGGGATCTTGTAAGTTACTTTTTTAGGCTGTGGTTTGGTGAAAGAAACCAACACATTAACGATTTTTTTCCCTCAGAAGCCACTGAATAATTCTTTTTGGCGCGTTTTTGCCTTCCTGTTGGCTGTCTGGTTTTGCAGCAGATGGGAGACGGGGTGTGCCCTTGAGACAGATGGCCTGTCCTGCTCTGGGTGTGGGCTGTACCTGTTGGGCCAGTCGCACACAGTGGCACTCCACCCTGGAGCAGCAGCCTTGGTACGTGGGTGTCCCCAGTGAACTGTGAGAAGGGACCCTGCCAGCAACCTCGTGTCCCGGCCCCTCCCTTCTTCCCATCCCCTCAGTCTGCTAGTCCCGGAAGCCTTTAACCAAACGGGAGCGGGTGCCGAAGGCCCTCTCCTGGCATCTTAGGGCAACAGGACAAGGGCTGCCCAGTGTGTCCAGCTCTGCTGCTCTCCTGGCGCCGAGAGGGTGGGTCCAAGCAGAGTCGATCACACCCTGCCTGCCCTGCCTAGGCCTGAAGCCAGGGGGATGTGGGGGTACCCTGGGGTCTGCCCAGCGCGGGGGTGGTTGGAGATCCAGGCGGGGAGGGCCGCATGGGGGCGGCCTGCCCCGGCACCACCCTGCCCTGTGCAGTATTTATTGCTAAATTATTGTCCAGGAGGGACGGCACTGGGCCGGGCCCCGGGTATTTATTGCTGTACATAGTGTATGTTTGTGATATATAAGGTTTTCTTTATTTTGTATATGATCAATAAACACCTTTTAAAAAGACTGGCAGGTGCTTCCTTGGGCGTCGCGGGCGGGGCCGGAAGGGCGGGGCCTCGCGCGCCTGCGTCGGCGCACGGCCTGCCGGGAGGCGGAAGCGGAAGCGCGCGTCCGCCCGGCAGTGATGGCAGCCGGGGGTCTGAGCCGCTCGGAGCGCAAGGCAGCCGAGCGGGTGCGCAGGCTGCGGGAGGAGCAGCAGCGGGAGCGCCTCCGCCAGGTACGCCGCCGCCCGCCCGCCCGCCCCGCGCCCCGGCTCGCGCCGCGCTCACCGCCCGCCCCGCGCCCGCAGGTGTCGCGCATCCTGAGGAAGGCGACGGCCGAGCGCAGCGCAGAGGAGGGCCGGCTGCTGGCCGAGAGCGAGGACCTGGTGGCCGAGCTGCAGGGCCGGAGCCGGCGGCGTGAGGGCCTGAAGCGGAGGCAGGAGGAGGCGAGTCCCGCGGCGCGCGCCGCCTGGGCCCGGGCCTCGCTGGGTAGGGGCGGGCGGGCCGGGGCTGATGGCCGGCCTGGGTCTCGGCAGGTGTGCGACGACCCGGAGGAGCTGCGGAGGAAGGTCCGGGAGCTGGCCGGCGCCGTGCGCAACGCCAAGCACCTGGTCGTCTACACCGGCGCGGGCATCAGCACGGTAGGAGGCGGGGCGTGCCTGGCCGTGTCCGGGTGGGCTCCCAGGGCCAGGAGGGGCGCGGACCGCGGCGCCGGGCGCGGGCCTGGGGCGCCCCCTTTTGGGTGTCTGACCTGCAGACCGGACCTACGGCACTCCAAGTTGAGTAAAACCACTGGGCCGCCAAAAACTCACTTTAAGTATGTTCTTATTGATTTTTTTAGAGAGGAAGGGAGAGAAAAATAGAAACATCGGTAAGAGAGACATTGATCGGCTGCCTCCTGCACGCTCCCCACTGGGCATCGAGCCCGAAACCCGCGCGTGTGCCCTGACCGGGAACCGAACCAGGATCTCTCAGTCCCTGGGACGTCGCTCCATCCACGGAGCCACACCGGCGGGGCTAAAAACTCACTGTAAAAGCGGCTCTCGAGGTCTTTCCTTTCTTAGAAGCTCCAAATGATTCAATTTGAAACCTCACTAGTGAACAGTTTTAAAGGCTTGAACTTCATTGTTATACCCAGTTAGAGGTGAGGGTGGGGCATAATAGCTTAGTACTTGCGGGCACCTCATTCAAGGTGCAGGAAGTTCATGTACTGTCCCGAGGTTACATGGGCAGAGCTAAGGCCAAAACTGTGTCCTGATTCCCCATTCTTGGTTTTGCAGAATGTTGGAGGAAGGTAAGTGGGGAGCAAGGCAATGCAAATAAGAAAGAGAAATGCATTGGGTTTTGAGAAGTTTTAAGTGAGACGCTGCCCTGGGCTGTGGACTAGGTATGACTAGTTTTGACGGTGTGGATGGCACATTTTTTGTCTAATTGATGGGTGTGTCTTGAGTGTGACCTACGTGTAGGCCCAGCAGAGATAAACACTGAGGATTTCCATCCCAGACAAGCTGGCAGATGACATTAATAAGGCATATACGCAAATGACTGTAATGTGAAGCTGGCTGTGTGTTAGATCACTAGACATCCAGGCATACCCTCTGTGGTCTCAGAGCTGGGAATCCAGCCTACCTGGTTTTTTTGTAGGAGGTGGGACTGAGTCGGGGCCTTGAAAGATGGGTAAGATTTTACAGGCGAAAGTGAGAGTAAGACACTCCAAACAGGGATGAATGGAGGCCCAGTAGAAAGAATGGGTCAGGTGTGTTTACTGCTCCAACCTACAAACAGCTGGAGCACAGGTGGTCTGGTCTCCCTGCACGATTGCAGGTGAACTCTCGTTATGAGCTTATTTCAAAGCAGATATCCCTTGTTAAAGAGCTGTAAGTGACTACTTCAAGCCACGTGCTGCTCGTTAATTAGCTCTGAGCATTGCTATTTGAAAGTCCACTTTCTGGTGTGAGTCAGAACTACTGGTCAGGGTGGACATTTTTCTGACTGTGAGCAGGAGGGAGAACATTCAGCCTGAGGAGCACGGAGCACCTTGATCCTGGCACGCCTGTTCTTTCTGTCTCTCAGATGGCTTTGTTTCACTAGATTGGGAACTTGGGAAATTTAGTAGAGTTTATCTCAACTGGAAAGGTTGGCCTGTCTTTGTGGAGGTAGGGCAGGAAGTACTTACCTCATCAGGATGGGAGAATTTGGACAGAGGAGGGATCCCACCTAGGGGTTCACTTTTCTTCTGCACTGGCTAGACCCGAGGGACACAGGTGAGCTTGGCCAGTTGCCCCTCAGTGTGGAGGACAGGTGTGGCTGCAGAACCAGGTTGGAGAAGCCCCCAAGGAAGCAGGGCTCACTGGAGTCTGGGAGGAAGAGCTGGACCAGATGGGAGCAGGGTCCAGGCAGAGGGAAGGGGCCACATGGGGTACACTCCATCTGGGTTCCGTTAGAGTAGACTAGGAAATGCTGAGCCTGTGGGATGGATAGAGGCCAGTCCAAGGGCCAGCCTGGAACTTGTTGGGAGAAACATTTACTTCCTGTTCGTGGGGCCTGCTGGGGCCTGCAGTGGTGCCTATTTACGGGGCTTATTTTCCCTCTGAACATGCAGGCAGCCTCTATCCCAGATTACCGGGGTCCCAATGGAGTGTGGACGCTGCTTCGGAAAGGGAGGTGCGTCAGGTAAGCAGCCTAGCACCGCCTTTCCCGGAGTGGAGCGGGGGCAGCATGTGCCTGACCTCTGCTTCCCTTTCACCTGATAGTGCTGCTGACCTGAGTGAGGCCGAGCCGACCCTCACCCACATGAGCATCGCCCGCTTACATGAGCAGAAACTGGTAAGAGCCCAGTGTGGCTAGCTGGTGTACTTGCTATATCCATGGCGTGGGGCCTGGAACACCATCTTGGTGCCCAAGTGGCCACTGCATCCTGCCTCTGTCAGCCAGTGGACTCCTTGATGAATGCCCACCAAGTGGCTTAGACTCCTGGTTTAAGCCTCCCTCAAGACAAGAGGGTACCTTCTCTGAATCAACATGGAAAGGACTCAGGAAATCTGCAGACCCTCTGCTGAGCACCTTCAACCAAGGGGCCTTCAAGGACCTGAAACATAATGACCCAAGAAAGCATCTGAGCCTTGAGCCCCTGATGCACACGCTTGCCCTCCAGGCTTCTCCAAGTGCTTCAGAATTGTTGGGGTGGGCCCTCCTGAGTCCTGCTAGGACCAGCCTGCTTCCCAGGTTTTGCCTTTGAGGCTTCATGCAAGGCTGGAGTTACCCCTGGTTTGGAGGCTCTGGGCTTGCCGGGTTCAAGATGGTTTCGCTGCTGAGTGCGCCCTCCTTCCCCTCCAGGTGCAGCACGTGGTGTCTCAGAACTGCGACGGGCTCCACCTGCGCAGCGGGCTGCCTCGATCAGCCATCTCCGAGCTTCATGGGAACATGTACATTGAAGTGAGCGGTCCCTCTGGGCCTTGGGGGCCTGGGTGGGCCAGTGACTCCCACTCACAGTGCCCTCCCCTCCTCAGGTCTGCACGGCCTGCACTCCCAACAGGGAGTACGTGCGGGTGTTCGATGTGACGGAGCGCACCGCCCTGCACCGACACCAGACAGGCCGGGCCTGCCACAAGTGTGGGGCCCCGCTCCGGGACACCATTGTGCACTTTGGGGAGAGGGGGACCCTGGGGCAGCCTCTGAACTGGGAGGCAGCCACCCAGGCTGCCAGCAAAGCAGACACGATCCTGTGTTTAGGCTCCAGCTTAAAGGTACACAGACGGCACTGTGGATGGGTAGGGAGTGAACCTGCTGGCAGCTGGCCAGCTCAGCATTGGACCCCAGCTTCCTACAGCCTTGTTCCCTGGTGTGTGTGTGGTCTCTCTGTCCGTCTGTCTGTCCCCATAGGTTCTCAAGAAGTATCCACGCCTCTGGTGCATGACCAAGCCCCCCAACCGGCGGCCCAAGCTCTACATTGTGAACCTACAGGTAACCTGGTGCTCAGAGCCATACCCTTCGACCCAGAATCCCTAGGATGTTCCCGTTCTGCACTCAGTACCTCGAGGGCTGGCCAAGTGGGACCCAGGCGGCAGGGCATTGGGAAGGAGCGAGGTACTGACCTCATTTGCCTTCCCCTGTCCCCAGTGGACCCCAAAGGATGACTGGGCTGCCCTGAAGCTTCATGGGAAATGTGATGACGTCATGCAGCTCCTCATGGATGAGCTGGGCCTGGAGATCCCCCCCTACAGCAGGTGAGGGGGCACAAGCACACCCTGCTCCCGCCCCTGTGTGGACAAGCTATGTCTGTCTTCTCTCATGAACTAAGTGTAGAAAAAGTTCTGAGGTGTGGCTGCAGTGTGGTGGCCTCTGCAGGGACTAGCCAAGACACCCTGGATGATGTGACTCCCTGTGGGGTGAGGGAGTCTGCTGCTGTGTGCCTAGACGTCCCCCTTACCCAGACAGCCTGGAGGGGGGTCCCTGGAGGGACCTGCTCTCAGCAGTGCTGGTTGAATAGACTTGGTGCACTTGGTTTGGGGAGCTGGCAGACTTGGGGAAGCTTAAAGAAACTGTTCCTTAATACAGAATTTATGATAATTTAGACGTGGTGTATGTTTTGAGTAAAAAGTTTACACTTTCTTTCTCTGTGAATTTTCAGGGTCTTATAGGGGAAATCAATAACTTCTTTTAATCAAAGGGTTCAAGAATTAAGGATCCCTTCACCTTCTGGGCCTGGCAATTCTTGTATGTTATGTTTGTGGTGTTCTGTAATGTGGGCCTATTGTGTACTGTACTTTTTTTTTTTTTACATTAACTTAGCTCATTTTCCTTATCAGTGCTTATCTGTATCTTAAGTTTATAATATGTGGTTCTACATCTCAGTCAGACACATGACCTCACCCGGGAGCCTGTAGGTCACACCTCCCTAGTCACCTGACCTTCCCACCTATCAAGTCTCACAATCTGGGAAAGGGGAGAGGGTCTGGTCCACCTGCCCCTGGCCTTACAAGTGAGAGGTGGGGCCCAGAGTTGTTAGTGACTCGTCCCTGCTGAGACCACTGCTGCCCCACCTGAGCATGCCTAGCCACTAGGTCACCGACAAGGACACGTTCTACAGAGGCTGAGCTAGGCTGGGAGCTTACCCTTCCTGTAGCTCAGGGTGGTGGAGCTACCACCAAGCAGAGCCTGCCACGGCTAAGACAGGGAGGGAGCAGGGTCCCCTCCTCAGTCAGCTTTCCCATCCTGGGGCAGGTTGTGACTGTGAGAGGCTCCCAGGCACACCTGACCCAGTTTTCCCTTTTTGGTAGGTGGCAGGACCCCATATTCTCCCTGGCGACTCCCCTGCGGGCAGGTGAAGAAGGCAGCCACAGTCGGAAGTCGCTGTGCAGAAGTCAAGAGGAACCCCAGCCGGGAGACCAAGGTGCACCACTTAGCTCAGCCCCCATCCTAGGTGGCTGGTTTGGCAGAGGCTGCACCAAACGCACCAAAAGGAAGAGAGTGACATAAACTGGTGCTTGACTGAGAACGACAATTGGCACTTTGCAGATGGCTGGAACTCTTGAGTCAGGGGCTAGTGGCACCCAGAAGGCCAGCACAGCCCCGCAGGGTCTAGTGAGAATTCTCTGGGGTTGATGTTTTCACCGTGACATGTTTAGCCATTTGTCTTGGTGGGAAGCCTCCTTGCACTGCTGTGCTTGTCCCCTGCCCCCATGGGCCTGAGTGTTGACACCTGGCTGGTCAGCTTCCTAAAGGCAGCAGCCACGCCTTCCTATGAGAACAGAACTGGCCAGCCAAGAGGAAGCACTCGCTGCCTTACCTCATTCATCAGGCTAGTCTCAGGGGCTTCAACCCTATTTCTACTTACTAAGAATGTTAACTTTATAGTAAACCTTTTTCTGTATAGGTATGCGGCAAAGGGGTGGTTTTGAGCCTTCACTCTCAGCAGACCTTTTTATTGTTATTAAACATTTCTGCACTGTCTTCGTGTCACTGCCTGACTGCTGTTCTGTCGCTGCGGGGAGTAAGGTGCCCAGCCAAGTTCCTTGCACCCGGGCCAGGAGGTAGTGGTGCACAGGGTTTTGCCCCGCGCCCTCCTTCAGGTGCAAATAGGAGGCGGCACGCATACGCCATTGGCTGTAAGCAGGAGTGGGCGTGGCTACGTTCTGGCGGCGCATACTATTGGCCTCGCGCGCGGAGGGCGGGCCTCGGTTCTGTGGAGGCCTGTGGCATACGCCATTGGCCGAGAGAGACGGAAAGGCGGGGCGGGGCTCCAAGCGCGGAACGGCTCTCGCCATTGGTCGGGAGCGGCTCGTGAGGCCCGCGTGACCGTGCGTGCGCAGGTACAGGGCGGGCGGCGGCCGCTCGGAGTTGAGAGCCGTCCGTGCCGCGTCCCTGTCCGTGTCGGTCGCTGCTGTGGTGACATGATCCGAAATGGGCACGGGGTGGTGGGCGGCGCCGAGCGGCCAGGCCCAGGGGGCAGGCCCGCCGTGCGGGTGTGGTGCGACGGCTGGTGAGCGCGGGCCGGCGGGCGGGGGCCGGGGTCCTGGGGCCGCTGTGCTCCTGCCCGGAGACGCACCTGCGAGCAGGGCCTCCGCTCGGGCCGAGGTCGGCCGTCAATTGCGAGGCAGGGCGGCGGACTCGGGCTCCCCCGCCGCGGGGCAGGGTCCAAGACGCGGGCCTGGCCGCTGGCCCAGCCCCGGGGACTCGGGGTTCAGAGACACTGGTCCAGGCCGCCGCCCGGCCCGTGGTCCGGGTGGTGACAGCCGCGTGCGTCCGATCTGATGAGTAGTGGGATCGGCGCAGTGCTGTGTGAAGGAGCCAGGCACCCCGGGGCTCCCCGGGGGCTCGTGTCAGGCTCCCCAGCTCGCCCAGCACAGGCCCGGGGACTCCGCGGAGTCAGGGCCGCGGCCGGTCGGGAGAGCGGAGGCCCCAGCGAAGCCGGGCGCCCCTTCGCCTCCTCGCCGGGCAAGCTGGCCGAAGACGTCTGGGGCTGTCAGTTGATAGTTCGCCACCTGAGATGCTTCCTCGGGCCTTTGCTTGTTGGGTCAGAGAGGGAAACACACCCTGTCTGCTGTGCCCCTGCACCTGGATCACCTGGGGAGGAGTGTGGCTTCCTGCCTGTGGACTCTGACCGTGGCCCCAGCGAGGCCAGGCCCTTGCCCCTGCAGGCCACAGCCACAGTGGCCTAGGACACAGTGACTAGGACACACCCTGGACCCAGGGCCACCCTCCATGCCACCTGGGTGCCTCTGGATTTGGACTTCCCTCTTCCCTTACCCCGGGGCCAGAGCCCTGTGACCCCCCAGGCCTGTCTGCTGGGGCCGGTGAGGTGAAACGGGGTAACAGGTGGCATTGGGTAGAAGGGCTCTGAGTAGCCTGGAGAAGCAGGGACAGCTTCGCCCACTCAGAGGGCCCTGTGGGGCTGGGAGCAGTAGAAGAGCTTGAGGGTGCAGCTCAGGGCCTGAAGAGCAATGTGGGGTCTCCCAGCACACACGGGGAGCACGTGGGAACCCAGCCGTACAGTGGCTGCTGTCTGTGGCCTTCAGTTGAGAGTTCAGTCTTAACCAGGCCCGGATTATAGGGTATCAAGCTCTAGAGCCAGGTGACGGAGGTGGTGGTTGGCCCCAGAGAGCGGAGTCTCCCTGGCTCCTGGAGGCAACGTGGGAGCACTCAGGGTTTTCCAAGCCAGCGTGGCCCTTGCTCATTGGTTGGACTTGGTTTCTTGTTGGCCCAGAGACTTGTTGTCTGCCTGCCCCAGGGTAGTACAGAGTTTAGCCTGTCTCTGAATTCTACTGCCTAAAGGGACCACCCACGGTGCTTTGCATTTGGGAGGGGGCCCTGAGGGCCACACAGTCCCAGGCGTGGGGAGCAAGGTCTGTTCTGTGTGATCTCCAGCCCTTGGGATCTGCAGGCCTTGTCCTTGGGCACAGCCAGACACTTAATGCATCTGGCCCTGTGCTGTGCAGAGCTAAGCACTCACCTTCCCTCTGAAAGCCCAGGCTCGGCCAGACCCTGGGGAGCAGTTCCCAGTGGCAGCTTCTCAGAGGGCTTCCTAAAGCCAGAGGAGCCAGCCTGCGCCCCTTCACCCAGTCCCCTCCCTCCTCAGCCCAAGGACTGACTGCCCTGTCCTTTCCACAGCTATGACATGGTGCATTATGGCCACTCAAACCAGCTGCGCCAGGCGCGGGCCATGGGAGACTACCTCATTGTGGGCGTGCACACTGACGGTAAGCTGGAGTTTCTTTGCCCACCCACCCCACTCGTGCCCATCTGGGGCCTGCCCATTCCTCAGGGGAGCCCCCAGCATTACTTGGGAATCTGGTGGGGTGCGGGGACTGTGCAGTTATCCAGCACACTGTCCTGAGTGGCTGTGCTGGCCCAAGGAGGACAGGGCAGTGGCTGCTCGGGTGTGGGAGGGCACTCCCGAGGAGAGGCTGGCTTGTCTGCTGTGAGTCACCCCTCCATGGGTCATCGTCCTGTCCTCTGTTCTTCTCTGGCCCTAGAGGAAATCTCCAAGCACAAGGGACCCCCAGTGTTCACGCAGGAGGAGAGGTACAAGATGGTGCAGGCCATCAAGTGGGTGGATGAGGTGGTGCCGGCGGCTCCCTACGTCACCACGCTGGAGACGCTGGACAAGTACAACTGCAACTTCTGTGTCCATGGCAGTGAGTGGGCACTCAGGGCAGGCTCAGACTGCAGGGGTCATGGGAAGTGCTGGGCCTCCTCACACTGCGGGTAGCCCTGAGCCCCTTGGGGACCTGCGAGCACTCTGGGTCCTTCCCCAGAAACAACAGCAGGCCTGCAGGAGAGGGTTGTGAGCCCTGACGGTCTTGGTGGCTTCAGGTTAACAATCCTATTCCTATGTGTGTGTCATCTCTTAGATGACATCACCCTCACTGTAGATGGCCGAGATACCTACGAGGAAGTGAAGCAGGCTGGGAGGTACAGGTGAGCCCCACCATAACCCATTTGAGGTGGGGAGACGTGCGGGCTACGGCGTGTTTCTTGTGGCCGGGACCGGGGCGGGCTGCACAGTTTTCTGTCATGGCCCAGAGCATGAAGAAGACGCTGGTCTGTGCACAGCACAGCAGGGAAACTGGGTTGCCCTGAGGTGCGGTGCCCTGAACTCTGACCCCATTCTTGTTGTCACCTCTGTCCCCAGAGAGTGCAAGCGCACCCAGGGCGTGTCCACCACAGATCTCGTCGGCCGTATGCTGCTGGTGACCAAGGCTCATCATAGCAGCCAAGTGAGTCTGGGGGTGGGGACAGAATGTCCAGGGTTCCCGGACTGAGGACATGGCTGGGAGGAAGGGAGGTGCATCCGCCCTGCCCTGCCCTGGCCCTTCAGTGGGCTCCAGGACAGCAGGCTTCAGTGTCCTCGGGTTGGCCACATCTGGAAGGCAAGGCCCCCAACATTCTCCCTTCTGCGTAGGAGATGTTCTCAGAGTACCGGGAGTACGCAGACAGCTTCGGCAAGGTGAGTGTGGCTCGGACTGCGCCCTCCGTCCCGCTTCTTGCCTCTGGGCGCTGACCTGGTACTGACCAGCATTGCCTGGAGGAGGAGCAAGAACTGCCCTTGGACAAGTGGCCTCTAACCAGGCAACCTGGCCCTCTCTCCCTTTTTAGCCCCCTCACTTGACACCTGCCAGGGAGATGCTTTTTTCAGAAGGCTCCTCCCAGGTGACCAGTGGTGGCCTCAGGGTGTGGGGTCCCCATGAGTACTGTGTCCACTGGCCTCCCTCCTGGACCTAGGTGGTGGTGGCTGCAGTGCCCATTGTGGCCACAGGACAGAGCCACAGTCCCACCAGCCACAGGGGCCTCTGGTGTGTACCAGGTACTTCAGCCAGCCCTCCATGTCCCTGCCCGAGACACCTGTCGGGAAACAGCACCTGAGTCAGTGAGCCAGCTGGCAGGCTATGGCTGAGGTTTATAGTCTACCTGTAGCCCCCACACCTGCTCCGTCCATCCCACACCTGTGCCTCCCAGAGCAGACGGGCAGGTGTGTGCAGGCAACCCCAGGCTCAGAAGAGGGAACAGGTGAGGGACATGTCTGCAAGGCCGGTCACTGACCATATTCCTCTTGGCTTATAGTGCCCAAGGGGGCGAAATCCCTGGACAGGGGTATCCCAATTTCTGCAGACATCCCAAAAGATCATTCAGTTTGCTTCTGGGAAGGAGCCCCAGCCAGGGGAGACGATCATCTATGTGGCCGGTGCCTTTGACCTGTTCCGTATCCTCTGGGACTGCGGGGAGGGTGTTGCCCTGGCCCTTTTCTCTGCTTGCCCACCCCTGCCCCAGAGAGGCCTTGCTGACTTCTCGAAGCCTTGGGATGGGGTGGCTGCAGGGGTGCTGCGGTTGGCAGGGAGGGCCGAGAGCCGGAGGGCGGGGGGCAGGGCAGCTGCTCCTGCACCGTTACTTGCTCCTGATCTGGGCACAGACATCGGGCACGTCGACTTCCTGGAGAAGGTGCACGGCTTGGCAGAGAGGCCCTACGTCATCGCCGGCTTGCACTTTGACCAGGTTTCAGCCCCGGGTAGCTGACCATGGGGCCCCGAGGCGGGCACAGGTAGCCCATGGGGAGCGAGGCCCTGGACGCTGATGGAGGCGGAGAGGACGGGCTGGGGCCTCTTCCTGGGGCAGGGTGTTCTTCAGGCCTCCCCCACACTGGCAGGTGCCCCGCGGGGGGCTGCTGGCAGGGTGCCTGCTGACCTTCCCTCACTCTGGCCTTAGGAGGTCAACCACTACAAGGGAAAGAACTACCCCATCATGAACCTGCACGAGCGGACCCTGAGCGTGCTGGCTTGCCGGGTGAGCAAGGGCGGCAGGACAGGCCTGGCAGAGTGGGGAGGTGGCCCGTCAGGGACTCTGGACAGCCAGCCCCAGCATGCTGCCTCTGAGTCCCTGTATCCCCCCTGGCAGCCTGGTTGGCATTTAGGGCCATCTCCCACCACCCTTCAGCGTGGTAGGGTGCTTGCTAGCCAGCTGTGTCCCTGTCCCCATAGTACGTGTCGGAAGTGGTGATTGGAGCCCCATACGCGGTCACAGCAGAGCTCCTGGACCACTTCAAGGTGAGGCCCCCAGTGGGCTGGGAGCTGGGCAGTGGACAGTAGCTATGGCTGCCTCCCTTGGGGGAGGGGCCTTGTGGGGTGGTGCTGGGAGGGCTCCCTGATCCCTGCTCCCTCTGCAGGTAGACCTGGTGTGCCACGGGAAGACTGAAATCGTGCCCGGCAAGGATGGCTCTGACCCGTACCAGGTGGGCGCTCTGGGCCAGAGCCCTGGACCGGGCCGGGAGGTGGGCACCATGGCCGCTGCTCCTGTGCCTCAGTCTGAGAGGCAGGACGCTGACAGCAGGAGTGACTGTCCCCACGGCACCGGGGAAGCTGGGCAGTCTCCTTGGGGTCCAGAAGAGGGACCTCAATCTCCCCCCTTCTCCTGGCCTCCAGGAGCCCAAGAGAAGGGGCATCTTCTGTCAGATCGACAGCGGGAGTGACCTCACCACAGACCTCATTGTCCAGCGCATCATCAAGAACAGGTGAGGCCTCCGCTGGGCCGGTGGAGCGAGTGGAGCCCTGAGGCCCGGGCTGCTTGCACAGCTCACCCCCGGCTGGCCCCCAGGCTGGAGTACGAGGCCCGGAACCAGAAGAAAGAGGCCAAGGAGCTGGCCTTCCTGGAGGCCAGGAGGCAGCAGGAGGCACAGCCCGAGGGAGCAAGCCAAGGTGCCTTCTGAAGGAGGAAGACAGTCACCAAAAGCCCTGGAGCTCAGCCCTCTCCCTGCCCTGCCTCCTGCGCCACCAGTCTGGCTCAGTGGTTGTGACAAAGCTGCAGCGCCCCTCTTGCTGGCCTGGCCCTGGAAGGGCCGTTGAGGAGGTGGTCGCCTCCCACCTCCTGCAAGGCACGTTTACAGCAGGCCTGCACCCTTCCCGTCAGGCTGCACAGAGAGGGAGCCCAGCCTAGTGGAGTTGACCCAGCAGGCAAGATGAGTGGAGGGTGTCCCAGAGCAGAGGGATGCCACCCTGTGTGCTTGGGGAGGCCCAGCTTCCATCCTCCTGGCTCCACTGCGGTGCCCCCCACCCCCACCCCTCAGGAGGCTCCTGTGGACCCAAGCTGTACTTCCTGCCTACCCACCTCGGTGAGAATCCACTTCAGGGGTACAGTGACCCGAGGGGCTGCCAACTTTCCTCCTCAGAGTGCAGACCAGGCCGCCTCCTGCACGGGCACCCTCTGTCCCACTCTGCATCCTTGGTGTCCCGACCCTGGCTCCAGGACCCTGCGCCCTGCTCCGAGGCCAGCCTCCTGCTCTCCCCACACTCTTGAGATTGTGCATAACTGGCTGATGTGCGACCAAATAAACCTGGTGGGAGGAGCTCTGTGTCAGGCTGTCAGCCCTGCTCCCACCCAGCGAGGAGGGAGGTGGCAGGTGGCCTGGCAGTGAGGAGGCCCCCAGACCTGGGCCCCCCACCCCCATGGTAGGCGACAACAAGCCAGAGAGAAGCAAGAGCCTAGCAGGTCCCCTGAGGCCTGGAGTCTTGTCACCAGGACCATGAGAGGCTGAGTCCCCACAGCTCCACAGAGGACCACCCGTGCAGGAAGGGTTGGGTCCACAGAATCTCGGGGTCACGCGCACACAAGTGGGACCCACTTGGAGTAGCCCAGCAGCTGACGGGGGTGGGGGCAATGGGTTGGTTGGTGTTCTGTCCAGCAGTGAGGAATGTGAGCCTGGGGTGTTATCTCGGCTGCTGCCTCTGCCCGTCCGCTGCTGGGGGTGTGGGGAGTACACCCTGCAGGCTGGTCCATGGGATCCAGAAGCCAACACCCCTCCCTCCAGTAGGAGGTGGGCCTGTCCTTTATTCTATCGCCTCCTTTTTTTTCTAAATTTTTTTTTTTAATCCTCACCCAAGGACATGTTTGCATTTATCTTCAGATAGAGCTGGAGAGAGAGAGAGAGAGAAACATTGATGTGAGAGAGACGTCGACTGGTTGCCACCCACACAACCCCAACCGGGGCCGGGAACAAACTGCAGCTGAGATACGTGCCCCTAGCTGGAACCAAGCCTGGGACTCTGAGCCAAACCGGCCCGGGCCTCAATATTTACTCTTTATTGATTTTAGAGAGAGGAGAGAAGGGAGGGAGAGAGAAACATCCATGAGCGAGAACATCGACTGGCTGCCTCCTGCATGCTCCCTACTAGGGATTTGGCCCGCAACCTGGGCAGGTGCCTTGACCGGGAATCAAACTGGCGACCCCTTGGGACATGGGTCGACGCTCAGCCAGCCAGGCTCTCCTCTTTTTCTTTCAACTGTTACCTGAGGATGTGTTGTTACTGATTTTTAGAGGGGAAAGGAGGGAGAGTAAACACACACTGATGGGAGAGGAACATCTACCGGTCACCCCTACCTGCCCCAGCTGGTGATCTAGCCTGCAGCCTTCTGGTGTCTGTGATGATGCTCCAACCGAGTCACCTGGCCAGGGCTCGATTTTCTTTTCTTTTTTTTTTTTTCTGTTGATTTTTTTTGTTTTGAGAGAGTAGAAGGGAGGGAGGGGGAGAGAGAAACATGATAGGAAAGAGACACAGTGATTGGTTGCTTCCTGCACATGACCCAATCAGAGCCAGGGATTGATCCTGCAACCCAAGCACTTGCCCTTGACTGGGAATCGAACCCTCCATCCTCCGTGCATAGGCTTACACACTAAGCACTGAGCCGCACCAGCCAGGGCTCAATTTTATTCTTGGGGTCTGACTCAGAACCCGGGCAGGAAACAAGCAGGGTGGTCCTGAAGTTTCACACACACCCTGGCTGGGCAGCACCACCCACTTTCCTCCCTCCCCGAGTTGGGGACACCTGCACCTCCACCCTATCTGGGCACCTCAACTTCAGGAGCACCATGGTGCTGGATCTCCCCACTCAGACCCTTAGGCTGAGCAGGTGGACCAGATGACCCCCCACAGACTTAGATGGGGGAGGCTGGGGAGTGGCCAGTGGGCTCTAGGGTGCTTGAGTCAACCACAGGCCTGCCTGGGGCCCACCACGGGGTGGTACACTGAGGTGGGGACCGCCCCGAAGCAGTATTCACTGAGCCCCAGCCAGGGCTCGGGGCCTGGGAGTCCAGGTCTACCCCTGGAGAGACATCTACCCAGGTGCAGTGGGACTGTGAGTTCCACCCACAGCTTCTCTGAGGCCCAGCTGGCCAGGTGCTCCGTGGGGCTAGGGACAGCCACAGTGCAGGCTCTGGACCACAGACCAGGGCTCAGGCCCTCCGGCACGAGGCCAGGTCACGCTCCAGCTCACACTTTGGGGAACTCACAGTCCGCCTGAGTTGTGGGGGCAGGAGTCAACCCCAGGCAATTAGCTGGAGTGTACCTCCATCTGGCCCCTTGAGGCTGTGCCTGGCGCCCGGTGCGCTGGCTGGCTGGTTTGCAGGGTTGCTGGGCTGCCTGCCCCTCCCGGAGCCACAGGTCTGGTGCCGCCTCCTGCCAAGCCTGCCCTGTTAGCTGGAACTGCACGGTTCACTGCCCTGTGCGGTGCTAAGAGGCAAAGGAGGCCCTGGCCGGTTTGGCTCAGCGGTTAGAGCGTCGACCTGTGGTCCTGAGAGACCCGGGTTCGGTTCCCGCTAAGGGCATGTACCTCAGTTGCAGTTTGTCCCCGGCCCTGGTCGGTTGTGCGGGTGGCAGCCACTCGATGTGTCCCTTTCACATCGATGTTTCTCTCTCTCTCTCTGTTCCTCTCTCTCCCTCCCACTCTATCTGAACAAAGAATGGAAAAATGTCCTTGGGTGAGGATAAAAAAAAAAAGAGAAAAAAAAAGAGGCAAAGGAGGGCTCCAAGGAAGGTGGGACCCCAGAAGCTGCCCCTCCTCCAGTAAGGGAGCTTTGGCTTAAAGAAACCCAGGATTTGAGGCAGGAGGACTATGTGGGTGAGGTGGAGGGGTCATCTGTAGGGGACATTAGGGCTGGCTGAGTAGTATCCCAGAGGCAGGGAGTGGGGGGCTGGACGGGGACTGGAGAGGTCAGACATGGTGAGCAGTGGGGTCTCTAAAACTAGTAAGGCCAGGTCCCACAGAAAGTTCCCAGTACGCTCGGGGGCAGTGGGGTTGGGGCTGCTCCTGGGCAGGCTATTTCAGAAGGGCCTGGTGGCCTCAGGGACCTGGGAGCAGCAGTATAGTCTGCAGCAGGGTCCAGGTTTAGGAACAGGGTCCAGGTTTAGGAACCAACCGACCTAGCCCTGTCACCTCCGGCACGACCTCCCTCACAGCCCCCCAACACACACACACACACTCAGAGGTCGGCTGAGCTGGGCATTTATTCATTTAACCGCTTACTGCGGCGATGGGGTGGGCAGCCTGGGCGCCATCTCCCCCGCGGTCTGGTGTCCAGCTGGACCGCGGGCGGTAGGGACAACCGCGGGGTCACTCAAACGACGGCCGGTGTGGGTCGGGGCTCAGGCGCTGCGGCAGTCGGCGTGGAGCGACAGGAAGACGTCCGCCTTGCACTGGAAGGTGGCGCGGCCGTCGGGGAGTCGTTCGCAGCTCTTCAGGTTCGGGGCGACATCCTTGATGCAAACGGTCTGCGGGCGGGAGGAGGCTGAGGGGACGCCCCTTGCCCCCCACCGCCCGAGCCTGGCCGCATGCCCCTCCCTCCTCCGCCGGCGCCCCCCGCGCCCCGGCCACCCGCACTCACGGGGCTCCGCAGGCTGGAGCGCAGCTCGGGAGAGGCGCGGGCCCGGCCCGAGGGTCGTGCGCCCACGGGGGGCTCCGAGCGCCTTGCGTTCGGGGACCCGGGGAAGCCGGACAGCAGCCCCGCGGCGCGGCCCACCGAGTAGGACCTGGGTCCCGATGCCTGCTTGTACCACGCGAGGCCGGGGGGCGCCAGCAACAGGCACAGCGCCAGGGCGGCGGCCGCCAGCGTCGCGGGCCGGGCCATGGGGACAGGGTGTCGAGGGCGTCGGGGCTCCGAGCTGCCGCAGCCGGCGCCTTATATCTGCGCGGGGGCGGGCGGGGCGGGCTGGCGGGGCGCGGGGGCGGCACACAGGCCGTGTCGGGCCGCTGCAGGCAGGCGCAGGCCCAGGCCCAGGCTGGAGGCGCTGGGGGTCCAGTGCTTCGTGGGGGCCCCATGCCCTCCTCAGCCTCCCCACCCCGGCCGAGGTCCCTTTTGTTCCCAGTCCTGTCTGCTGCGCTGGGAGGGGGTCCCAGGCCACTGCTGCCGCTCATGGTCTGGCCTGGAGGGGTCTCAGGGCAGGAGCAAGTGGGGCTGCACTGAACCCCCAACCAATCTGAGGGCGCCCAGCCCTAAGTCACCTCTAGAGGTCCCCAGCGCTCATGAGGCAGGAGACCCACTGACCGCACTGTGCCCAGGACAGTTTCGCCTGTCCTAAAGGGGAACTGACCCCAGGGCCGAGCTTCTTGAGAACCAAAGCCCGGGTGGGCCGGGAGCCATGGTCTGTTTCACACACAAGGGGGAAGGCTCTACCAACAGGGCTGCTAGGGCAGGGCCCTCTAGGGGGACCGGCAGGCAGAAAGACCAGGCTGGAGCTGCGGGCACGTCCAGCACTCGGGTTGGCCAGAGGGCTGGAGACCTCACTGCCCAGCGGAGGCTCATCTGTCGCACACCTGTTATATGCCATCCTCCAGATGAACTGGACCCAGACCCTGACTGAAGCCACAGCCAAGTGGGGAAACTGAGCCGGTGGCAGGGTAGGCAGGATGGCTCATTGGGGGTGAGGGGGGCGGTGCGGGGGCACCCAGGGAGATGAGGAGGAGCAGCCAGGGAAGAGGTCTGCAAAGGCAGTGGTGTGGCCCTCTGCCCCTGGAGGGAACTGGGGAGGAGCAGGCTGAGGGCATGGGGTCTGGAGCGTCCTGGGAGGAGGTAGATGACTGGACGCTGGGTGTGTGCAGGCCTGGTGGGCAGCTGTGTCAAGCTTGAGGGGACCAAGCTGGCCCTGAGAGAACCTGGCTGGAACCCAGGACAGTGCCGAGGCGGCTAAGTAGCAGGGAGTGCGTGTGGCCCCCAGGACGGTGCTGTGTGACCTGGGGCAAACTGGGAACCCCTCTGGGGCTGAGCATCTATCCCAATGGGCAAGGGTGAAAAGCCTAGGAGGCTGGGTCCCTGTGGGCACCTCCTGTCATAGGAGGGGATTCCCCAGGGAAGGTGGAAGTCCAGGGGGACAGGCCAGGATGAGGTCAGAAAACTCTGGGAAGCTGCAGCCCTCTTTAGTGGGGTTGGCTGTGGTGGCCATGGCCCACCTCCCCCTCCTGAAGTCCTGTCTTCTTTCCCGGGGGTAGCAGACCTGGAAAGTACCACCCGCTAGGCAGACAGGAGGGGTTACTACAGGGCACAGGGCAGCAACCTGAGGGCAGCACTCATGGGCGGAGGAGTCCGTGTTGGGCTCCCTGCTCATGAGGACACGCAGCAGGTTCCACCCAGGAGCTGCCCGACTCTGGGGGCTGAGACCACTGCTCCCCCAGGAGCCACCACCCCACAGTAGCTGTAGGGGGACAAAGGAACCTCCCGAAGGCTGTCCTTCCCTAGGTGGTGGAGGCCCGCAGACACCTGAGGACGCAGCCTGATGTGACATCGCCCTGTGCTGGTGTCACGGCCTTGAGGAGGAGCTAACTTTCTGTTGTTAATCCTCACCTGAGGATATCATTTCCATTGATTTTTATTTATTTATTTATTTATTTATTTATTTTTAATCCTCACCCGAGGACATTTTTCCATTTTTTGTTCAGATAGAGTGGGAGGGAGAGAGAGGAAGAGAGAGAGAGAGAAACATCGATGTGAAGGGACATATCGAGTGGCTGCCACCCGCACGACTGACCAGGGCCGGGGACAAACTGCAACCGAGATACGTGCCCTTAGCGGGAACCGAACCCGGGTCTCTCTGTACCGCAGGCCGACGCTCCAACCGCTGAGCCAAACCGGCCAGGGCCATTTCCATTGATTTTTAGACACAGTGGGAGGTGGAGAGGGAGAGAGAAACATCTATGTGAGACACATTGATTGGCTGCAAGAGGTATGCACCCTGACCAGGGCCAGGGATCAAACTTGCAACCCAGGCACTTCCATTGACTGGGAATCAAACTATGACCCTCTGGTGCGCAGGCCAACACTCACCACTGAGCTACACCAGCAAGGGCAGGAGCTGACCTTTCATCTGAGCAAGGGAGAAGGGACTGAGACACCACCACGGACCCTCACTGGCTGGCACAGCTTCGTAGCGTAGCCTCTTGGTACAACCAGCACCTGCTCTGGGAAAACCTTCTTGCAGGAGGGGCTGTGGGCAGTGGCTGCCAGCTATGCCCAGCCAGGGCCCTACCAAGCAGCCTGGCTTCCATCAGGTGAGAAGGTGGCTGATGGACCATAGGCCTCTGCACCACAGCCCCTTCACTTCCCGTTGGCAGGAACATACCCCAGGGCCTTTGTACCTCCAGGCCCTTCCAGTCCCCGAGCCAAGTCACTCCTGCTCCCCGCTCTCCTGGCTGATCCTGGGCTCCTTCGGCAGCTGGAGTGTGACTCAGGGCCGCAGCAGCACCACAGAGATGTTTATTCATGAGAGTTTTCATATCCACATGCCCCGCGGCCACGTCAGCGCCAAGAAAACAGGCAAGAGGCCTCCAGCAAGGCTCAGGCAGTTTAATGAGTTTTACTTATTTGGATGAGGTGTCAGCGTCGTGACAACACGCAGCTCCAGCCCCCGCCCCGCAGCGGGCGGGCGGCTCACTCCTTGAACTTCCACTCCTGGCGGCACATGGGGCAGTGCTGCTGCACCTGCTGCGCGTTCAGCCACTTGAGGATGCAGTGCATGTGGAAGCAGTGGGAGCACTGGCCCCACACCAGCGGGCAGTCGTCGCCGGGCACCTTACCTGTGCGGGGACAGAGGAGGTGGTCATACAGCTCAGGACCAGACAGGCCAGACTGAGGCAGGACCCCAGGATGCTGGGCGTCGGTGCCAGGAGTGGCCAGGGCTCTCAGAGAAGATGGGTTTCGGGAGTCACAAATGATTCTGCAGAAAAGCCACCCGTGTGTGAAGGTCTCGTGAGCCCCACCCAACGAGAGCAGCTCAGGGGCTCGGCCGCAGGAAGAGCTCTGGCCCGGCCCACAGCCCCAACTGCTGGGCCTGTCAGCAGACACTGTAGCTCGGACACTTGACCTGCGATCAAGGTTGCAATGTGACTGTCACAGCTCAGTAGGAGCTTTTCCTCTCGATCGAGCGCAAGAGGTTGGGGCCTTGGGACCTGGAAGGTTCCTTCCCTAGGCAGCAGGAAGCAATACATGGGAATGGACTGGGGACACTGGTGTTGAAGGGCTGGCCTGTCACAGGCTGGGAATGACCACGGTGCCACCTTCTGTCTCTGGCCTGAGAGGGTCCCACCCCCAAGGCTCAGGGCACAGGCTGCTGGCACTCCACCTCACACACCTGGAAATGCACCTACGTGGAGGGGCTTGGAGCAGAGAGGACACTCCACACTGCCCATGAGCAAGGAACAACTGCGCTCTGACTTCCCAGAACCTCGAAAAGCCTGTCAGCCAGCTGCTGTCACAGTGTGCAGTGACCTCCCCCAGGCCCCGGAGGAGGGTCCCCACAGCCCCGGAGGAGCTGAAGCTCGCTGCCCTACGCTCTTCTCCAGGGCCTTTCCCCCACATCCCTGCCTTGGGGTCCTCTGCCCCTAGCGAGCACTAGCTGTATGCAGATGCCACTGTACGCAAACACGAGGGACCACGTGGACAAACCAGGGCAGGTGGACAGGGGACATCGTGTCCAGGAAGCAGCTCCATCTGCGAGATGGGGCCTAACTGCAGGGAGCAGAGGCTGCCTTTGGGCCCTGTGCCCACAGGACTAGGCCTGGCCACCTGGTCTTGGTTCTGACTTTTTTTTAAAATATGTTTTGATTGCCCCAGCTGGTTTGGCTCAGCGGTTAGAGTGTCAGCCCACAGATAAAAGAGTCCTGAGTTCGATTTCAGTCAAGGGCATGTACCTCAATTGTGGTTTGTCCCTGGCCCTGGTTGGGATCGTGCGGAAGGCAACCAATCAATGTGTCTCTCTTACATCAGTATTTCTCTCTCTCTCTCTCTCTCTCTCTCTCTCTCTTCCCTCTCTCTCTCTCCCCTCTCCCTCCCTCTCTACCTGAAGATAAATGGAGAAATGTCTTTAGGTGAGGATTAAAAAAAGAAAAAAAAAATTTTTTAATTGGTTTTTTTAGAGAGAGAGGAAGGGAGAAATAGAAACATCGAAGCAAGATCGAAACAGATGGGCTGCTTCCTGCACGCCCCCATCCGGGGATCAAGCCTGCCACCCAGGCATGTGCTCTGACTGGGAATCAAACCAGGACCTCTCAGTCCCTGGGACGACGCTCCATCCACTGAGCCACACGGCCGGGCCTGGTGCTGTCCTACACCGAGCATGGTGAGGCGCATCCTGCAGTGCGTGGAAGAACACACTGGGCGAGCGGCAGAGGAAGCTCTCAGGACCCACTTAGCATCTCCCTGCACAGACGGAGCGGGAGGCCGCCTGCGCTCTGGTCTCACAGCCCTGTGCAGGCAGGGGGCCGGGCCACGCAGCCACGAGGCAGCGCGGTACAGTGAGCCACCCCGTCAGGAGAGGGGCCGCCACAGCTCTTCCTTCTTACTCACTTGTCTGGAGCAGTGTTTCTCAACCTGTGAAAATCCTTCTCTAACAAAAACGTCCCTTTCTGGAGCTTCCATGACACAACCACCAGCAAACTATATGCTCTGCAAACACAGTCCCGTAACTCGTTCTACTCCCTGTGCCCACCCCGGCCTTCCCAGGCTCAGCTAAACTCCACTGGGAATCACCCTATCAAATTAGGGTCCCTTACACACAGGGTGGAGAACATGGAGCAGAGGTCAGCCAGCCCCCTGCTGGGGGGGCCCAGTGAGCCCACCGACAGAGGGCACCAGGCCAACCTGAGCCATCACCTGCCAGGGACAAGACAGTGACTCACCCAAGAGCCTGCTGGTGTCCTGTCGGAAGTTCTTTTCCGTTAAAAGATCTCTCAACAGGACTGTCACTCCCAGAGCCCCTGGGACGTGGAGCAGACTCATCCCTTAGCTGCTCTGGGTCTTCTGCAGTCCGTTTCGGCAGAGAAACCAGTGCACTGACCAGCACAGAAGGCGCCGTAGGCTTGCCCAGGGCCTCGCACGCTACACCTGGCTCACTCCCTCAGCCACCCGCGGGCCCAAAGGTCAGACTCGACCCACCCTACTCTCCACAGCTGGCAGGGAATAAACACGAAGACACCCAGCCACAGGCCCAGCTGCGATGGTGCCCACGGGGCTCTGCCGGCCACTGGTGCGATCTTTAAACCAGGCTCGCCCGCCACAGCACCCAAGGGCACCACCACAAAAATGCCTTTGAAGGCTTGTCTTTTCAGAAGGTAACAATCTGTTGCTTAGAAAGTTGAAGTACTTGCTCCCTCAGGCTCCCTTGCCTTTGTAGTACCCCTGGGAAACAACTTAAAATAGATTAAGTTGCCCTGGCCGGTTTGGCTCAGTGGTTAGAGCGTCGGCCTGCAAACCAGAGTCCTGGGTTCAGTTCCCACTGAGGGCACGTATCTCGGTTGCAGTTTGTCCCAGGCCCCAGTTGGGGTCGTATGGGTGGCAACCACTCGATGTGTCTCTCTCTCTCTCTTCTCCCCTTTCTCCCTCCTGCTCTATCTGAAGATAAATGTAAAAAAAAATAAAAATAAAAAAGTAAAAATAAAATAAAATAGATTAAGTTGCCCTGGCCGGTTTTGCTCCATGGTTAGAGTGTCAGCCCACGGACCAGAGTCCTGGGTTCGGTTCCCGCTAGGGGCACATACTTTGGTTGCAGTTTGTCCCTGGCCCTGTTTGGGTCGTGTGGGTGGCAACCACTTGATATGTCTCCCTCACATTGATGTTTCTGTCTCTCTCCCTCCCTCTCTCCCTCCCGCCCTATCTGAAGATAAATGCAAAAATGTCCTTGGGTGAAGATAAAAAATAAAATAAAATAAATAAAAATAAAATAAAATAGATTAAGTCGCCCTGGCTGGTTCGGCTCAGCCTTCGAGTGGGCTGGAGGATCAGTGTCTTGGAATCCATTCCGGTTAAGGGCACATACCTGCAGTTCGGTCCCTAACCCTGGTCCAGGTCTTGCAAGAGGCAAACAATAGGCCCTGGTCAGGATTGTGCGGGAGGCAACCAATGTGTCTCTCTCACATCAGTGTTTTTCTTTCCTTTTTTTAATTTATTTTTTTGTTTTTTTTTATTGCTGTTTTATAAAGCTTAATAACTTTCAGTGTTTTTCTTTCTCTCCTTCTCTGTCCCTCTCTACCTGAAAGTAGATAGAAAGATATATCCTCGGGTGAGGATTAAAAAATAATAATAAATAAAAAAATAAAATAGATTAAGTAAAACCTGATCAAGTAGAGCCAATCAATGCCTAACTAAGGTTATGGTTCCACCTTTTGAAAAAATCAGGGTGGATTAACTCCAGGGTGATGAGATCTCCTTTCAACCAAAATATAGATAAAGATTAAGCCTAGAATAAATTAGCATTTGCACTCAAGTTCAATGCCGGATTGCATTTCACTATAAGAAGCAAAGCCCGATTATTATTCTGGGCACTCACCTAGCCCCACAAAGAAGGCCTGGTCACTCACAGGGCAGTGAGGAGCTCCTCAATAGTCCCCAAGCCCCACTTTCCTCTTGGGACTACCCTTGTCCCCTGGAAAGTCCTGACCCTTGCTCCTGCTTTATGTTCGCCTGGGTCTGACTAAAAACTCACATCACTGGTGCAGAAACCTGCTTTTGACCTGAATGTACAACGAACTATTTCTATTTTGCAGCACATCCTGGGCACAAAGGAACCACAAAGAAGAAACCCCGTAGAACCTGATGGTAGGCCCAGACTACACAAGACGGAACCCATCAGCTTCCGAAGGAGTCGGATGTCTGAAAATGTGAGAGGTGAGAGGACTCTGAGATTAAACAACTAAGGGGCCAGCAATGAGATGTGGAGTCCTGGCTCAGCCCACCCGAGAATAAGGGCACCGGGGACAACCGCAGAGATGTGACAGACTGGCAGTGGGCGGGGACACAGGAACGCTGGCTGGCGTCCTGGGGAAAACGTCAGCATCAGGTTAGAGGCGCCGGCGAGGTGTCCTGTGGATCAATCCCTTTAAAACACTTCCACAAAGCCGGGAAGCAAACAAGAAAATGTTCCTTGTTGTTCTTTTATGTGCCGGGTGGGGGAGGGGAGGCGTGAACGTACAAAAACTCCACTTTTGGTTCGGGAGTTTCCAGGTTAAGTTTTCACACCTCTCTCTGCCCCACGTGTTCCCAGCTCAGTTCGGGTCCTTACAAAACCCCCGGTGGCGTCTTTATACCAACACGGACCCAAACCCCTGCCAAGCTTCCTTGAGGAAAGGGACACCGAAAGCCCAGGGCTCTGTGCGAGGTTCCGGGGACACTCACAGTCCGGGCAGCAGCCATTGAAGGCCATCCGGCAGATGCCGCAGTTCTCGTCGTTGGCCACCCAGAGCCAGGTGGCCACGCCGTTCCAGCACTTGATCTTCACCTTCATGGCGGCGGAGCCTGCGGGCGAGGGAACAGAGCGCCTGCTGCCCCGGGTCTGCGGGGCTACAGCATCTGGGCAGCAGGCAGGGGCCTGCCGGGCCGGAGGGCCGCTCCGGGGCGCAGAGGCTTGGCGCGCGCTCGGGCACCTGCGGAGACCGCCCAGGGCGCGCTGGCTCCGTCCACAGCGGCGCAGACGGGCCCCACGGCCCGGGGCGGGCTGGGGGCGACAGGCAGGCGGACACCCGAGTCCCTCTCGCTGCGAGCTCACCCCGGGGACTGCCCCCCTGCCCCGGTCCCCAGGCGAGGGGCGGGAAGGGCGGCGAGCCCCGCCCCCGGCCGCGCCCCGCCCCCGGCCCGCCCCGCCCCCGCGCACCCAGGCCGACTTAATCGCGCGCGGCCGGGCTCGCCTACAGTTGGCAGAGCCGGCGCCCGCGCGGGAAGGTACGAAATCGGCCGCGACCTCAGCCCGGCACCTCGCAGCAGCGTCCGCCGAGCCCCGAGCCGCAGTGCGCACGCGCCGCCCCGGCTCCCGCCGCGCCCGCAGCCAATCGGCGGCCGCTCCGAGGACGCAGCACCGGAAGGCCGTGCGCGGCGCCGGAAGTGACGAGCCGGCGTGCTGACGCGCGGGCTCGAGCCGAGGCCGATTCCGCGCCCGCCATGGCCGACAAAATGGACATGTCTCTGGACGACATCATTAAGCTGAACCGGAGCCAGCGAGGCGGCCGAGGCGGGGGCCGGGGCCGAGGCCGGGCCGGCTCCCAGGGAGGTCGCGGCGGCGGAGCGCAGGCCGCCGCACGAGTGAGCCGGGGCGGCGGGCCCATCCGGAACCGGGCGGCCCTGGCCCGCGGCGCGGCGGGCGGCGGTGGCAGGAACCGGCCGGCGCCCTACAGCAGGGTGAGAGCTGAGGCCCGCGCGGGGAGCGGCGGCGGGGCGGGGCGGGGCGGCGCGCGGCGGCGGGGCGGCGAGCGGGGCCGGACCGGTGGGCGCGGGCCGGGCGGGAAGGGCGCGCGCCGGCCGAGCCCGGGAGGCGGAGACCCTCCCCGCCTTTGTCTGGGCTGCGCACCGGGCCTCGTGGCGGCGGGGCCCGAGGGGGCGCGGGGCGCGGCCGCGGGACGTTGGTCGAAGGGGACGCAGAAGTTGCGGGACGTGGGCCCCGGCGCTGGCGGGAAGCGGAGGGTGGAGGCTCCGCTCCGCACTTTCTTCCGGGCCGCGAGGGGGGAGAGCCTTGGAGTGAGACTCACGCGTCTGCCTGTGTTCCCGTGTTTTTTTCCCCTTTCAGCCAAAACAACTTCCTGACAAGTGGCAACACGACCTTTTCGACAGCGGCTTTGGGGGTGGTGCCGGCGTGGAGACGGGTGGGAAACTGCTGGTGTCCAATCTGGACTTCGGAGTGTCCGACGCTGATATTCAGGTGAGGGACAGGAGCTCCGCGGCCAGCGGTTCGCCCCGCGCGGATCTGATGGTGTCGTTGGGGATGTGGCCCTGAACTCCCCCTCCTTAGGACAGTGAGTCCTCCGGGGCACCCAGGGGTTAGCCACTGTCCCCCATAAGGGGCTTCTGGAGTGCAGAGCAGAGGCCATGCTAGAGCCGGGCCTCCAGTCAGTGGATCCGTTAATGCTGGACAAGGCCCTCAGCCCAGGCTGGGGAGCTGTGCACTTCCTTCTGCAGCTGCTCCGGGGCTGAGCGTTCTCTGCCACGGCTTCCCGTTTCTCACAGGAAGAGTGGAGGGATGTGAGTGCTTCCTGGTCACCGGTAGAGCGAGGCTGCTTGCTTGCTTGCTTGATTTTGTGTCCGTTTTCATGACTTGTTGGGAGGAGAAAGACCTCCCTCTGCAGAACCCACAGCACAGAAACAGGACAGCGCTGTGTCTCTGGCTCTGTTTGCCATGAGCCCTGTGTCTTGTACGTGTCGTTTCCCTTGCCCCCATCCCCTGCCGGTCTTGTTAGTGGCCTGACTTTCAAACCCATCCTTGGTTGAAGCCTCTAGTTTTTTCTTTTTTTTAATTGGTTAAATCGCAAAGGCATTTAAACTACTTTTGCGATTAGGTAGGTGATGACACCTTGGGGGTCAGTCCTAGAGATGGCCGGGTCAGGGTGCTGGGCCGTCCTGGGTTCAGTTTCCCAGAGCTCAACTGTGGGAGAACAGAGCAAGGCCGGTGAGCACTCACAGTGTCTCAACACTTTTTTTAAGGTGGTTTCTGGCATCCACTGGAAACCGCTTTTGGTGAACTCCACTTCCCGCTGTGTGCCTGCGGCCGGAGTAGCCCCACACTCTGGGTTCCCTCTCCAACTCCCAGCCTGCCTGAGGTCAGGGCGGTTTCCATGGCAGCGCTTGACTTCAGACTTTGCGGCAGGCTTGAGTAGGAGGAGAGGGAAAGGTGAGCCAGAATCTGCCCTGGGGGAGGGGCTGGGTCAGGGCTCCCAAATTGTTGGGCCCTTGGAGCTGGTCCACATGTCAGATGGTGTCCCTTGTTCTGTGATCTTGGTCTTTGCTGATTGTTGGCACAGTCCTTGGGTGTGCTGTAAACTCCTTCGTTGAAGAAGATAGCGACTTTATCTTGTGCCCTTCACAGATGGGCTTTGTGATCCTTTACCTGCATCGTGGTACAGATGTCAGGTCCCCAGGTCGGCATGGAGCCCTCGGGCCCAGCTGTTCCTGGAAGTTGCTGTCCCACCTGCCCCATCCTTCCCCACATGTCCCACTACTGCTGTCCTGACCCCATATGTATGTCTGCCTCCCAGGGAAATACCCTCAAAGCAGCTCACACTTCCAGGGACTTCCTGGGCCACAGGAAAGACGAGAGCTCAGCTGAACATTGCTCTTTCTGCCCCAGGAACTCTTCGCGGAGTTCGGGACCCTGAAGAAGGCGGCCGTGCACTATGACCGCTCTGGGCGCAGCCTGGGGACAGCCGACGTGCACTTCGAGCGGAAGGCAGACGCCCTGAAGGCTATGAAGCAGTACAACGGCGTCCCTTTGGATGGTGCGTTTGGGGCTGGACCCAGGGAGACTGAGGGGCTAAGCCTGTCCGAACAGGGATGTGGCTTACTCCTCTGGTTGAGGACACTTGGTATTCGCCCCCTTGTCCCTCTTCCGTTCTGCCACCTCTCATGCTGCCCCGCACATCTGGACATACCTTTTGTGGACCTCTCCAGCAAGCTACATCCCTCCCCTCCTTTAGCTCCTTCTGGAAGATTCACTTCTGTGAGGCCTTCTCAGAACCGCCATAGTGCATCTGAGTGCGGGGCTGTAGTCATAAAGGCAAAGAAGGGTGCCGCTGCTGCTTCTGTCAGGTCGCCCACACCTTTCCACCTGTGTGCGACACCCCCGAACCGGACCGAGAAGGAATGAGGTGTTGGCAGGTTGTCGTTGGTGCTCTCCTGTTCTCCCAGTGTGTCCAGGAGGTCTGTCTTGGTGGGAGCATTGGGGGTGCCAGGGACCCTTTCCGGCACCTCCATGGAGATGGTGTGGCACCCCTGGGCAGGCTGTAGGACGCTGACGTGAGTGTGCCCTATTGTGTTCCCTGCCACAGGCCGCCCCATGAACATTCAGCTCGTCACGTCACAGATTGACACGCAGCGCAGACCGGCACAGAGGTGAGTCCTGGGGTGTCTGGGCAGGGTTGGCTACAGGCTCTTCATCAGGCCTCCCCTCTCATGCATGTGAACTCACCCCCTTCTGCCTCGTAGTGTAAACAGAGGCGGGATGACCAGAAACCGTGGCTCTGGTGGTTTCGGGGTCGGCGGCACTCGGAGAGGCGCCCGTGGAGGCAGCCGGGGCAGAGGCAGGGGCACCGGCCGGAGTTCGAAGCAGCAGATCTCTGCAGAGGAGCTGGATGCCCAGCTGGACGCCTACAACGCCAGAGTGAGTCCTGGGCAGGGGCGCCTGAGGCTGACCCGGGAGGAGGGCGGGCCTCCTCTTGACCGGACCTTTTCTCTCCTGCTCTAGATGGACACCAGTTAGAGCAGCAGCAAGTCTGTGCGTGGAGCTGGGCCTGGGCGGCCGTCCCCGCTCCCTGCGGGGGGGAGCAGCTGGGCTGTGTGGCCAAGGATGGATTTGTTTCTTCTGTTTTAAAATAGGATTTAAAACTCATGTAAAGATTTTCCTTTTTTTTTTCCTTTTTTTTTTAAAGATTCTGAAACAGACCTGTTTTGTACTGAGTTATTTTTGGGACAAATTTTACTGGTTGCTGTGTGGAGAAGGTGGCGTTTCCTCCTTCACCATAATAAACAGAAACGTGTGTAGAACTGGGGCTCTGATTCGTCTGGCTGGTGGGGTCCTTGTCTCAGCCACAAAGTCGGTGCTGACGGGGAGGAAGGGAAGGAGCGTGGGCCAGTGGGCAGCCCCGCTGGCATGGTGCCCTAGGGGCCGGGGGTGGCTACCTTTCGTCTGTCCCCAGGGTCCTGACCCCTCCTCTGACCTGGTAGGTGGGAGGATGTGGAGCAGCAGCCCCTCTACCTGTAGCCCCTCACTGCCTGCCTGCGCCGTGAGGTGGGGCAGCCCCCTGTATTGGGCTGTCCCTTTCCTCAGGTGCTCTGGTGCTCGGAGACCTGACGTCAGCAGCCCTGACTCGGCGACTTCTCCCTCTGTGGTGCTCTCTGCTTTCCTGTCGCCTGGGGGAGCAAGCCATGGGTGTCCCTTTCTTACTGCCTGTTGCTGAGATAGCTAGGGAACTGGCAGAGTCTCATCTGACCTGGGAGGGGAGGGCTGGTGGACACGTGTGCCCACCTGACCGCCCTCAGGACGGGAGAGCAGGCCAGGACCGCACACGGCGTGCAGTTCAGGGCGCTGAGACCCCTGTGGGAGAGGCATGGAGAACCGTCTGAAGTCTCTGATCTACCTCCCCTCTGCAGGGCATGGCTGTGGGCTATCGTTTCTGCCTGCGGGCCAGCCAGAGCTAAGCTTCTGTTCTTTGGCTCACAGGCACATCCGGGAGGGTGAGAGGGGCAGCCTTTACCACCTAATGCTGGGTTGGTCAGAAGATGGCAACAATGCCCAGCCAATGTGGCTCACTGGCTGAGCGTTGACCCCTGCACCAAGAGGTCATGGTTTGATTCCTGGTCAGGGCACATGCCCAGGTTGTGGGCCTGATCCCCAGTGGGGGGCGTGCAGGAGGTGGCTAATTTATGTTCTTTTTCATCGATGTTTCTCTCTCTCTCCCTTTCCCTCCCTCTCTGGCTAACATCAATAAAGAATAAACATTTAAAAGGATGGCAACAAGCCTTTTGAGAACAGGGACTGGGAGGGCTGGGTGGGGTCGGAGTGTAGCTCTGGAGTACCCCCAGCCTTCCAGCTGGGACCAGAGGGAGGGTGATGGTGGTAAGGCGGACCAGAGCTCTACGTGGTCCATCTGGAGAGGCAGCCTGCAGCTCAGGTCTCTGTGGGGCCAGAGTGAGGGGTGTGAGGGGTGTGACAGGTGGCCCTTTATCTGTTGGCTCCAGTGCTGCCCTTGCAGAGCCAGTGGCTGCCACTCGGCCTGTGCCAGACCCAGCACTGCGGGGCCCTGAGAAGAGCCTGGCCCAAGGGTTGGATGTGGTAGAAGTTGGATCATCCAGGGAGTAACGGGCATGTCCATGAGGAGGTAGCCTTGGGCTGAGCAGGCACAGGCCAGTGGGGAGACTGCCTTTGGAGAGAGTTGACAGGAGGCGGGGCTCCTCTTGTTCCCCACTATCCAGAAGCTAAGGACAGTACCTGAGGGGAGGGGTGAGGTGGCCCAGGTCAGATGGCCACTAGGATGGGAGCTGAGCGCGGTTCCTCGGGCACTGGAGGGAGAGCTGGCCAAGCAGTATGGGGAGGAGCCGAGGGGCCTGGGTGCCGGATGGCACTGGTGGAGAGAGCCCGGGAAGAGAGCAGGGAAGGGGCCACGCTCTGCTGCGTCTAAGAGGTGGGCTCACATGGCTGTTGCTTTGAGCTGGACAGTCTGATTCAGTAGCTGTTGGCACATGGACACCAGCAAAACTGGCAGGTTGCGAAGCCCAGGGAGGGTTGGGAGGGATGGGAGGAGTGAGGGGGGATGCCACAGGGCTCAGTGCTGCGACCAGAGTGGGCCTCTCCCTCCCTCTTCAGGGCTTGCAAAGGTGTCGCGGGGGAAGCCAGCACCAGAGAGAAAGGATGTCGAGGCAGCTCCGAGCTGGGACCACCTGGTCAGGGCAATCAGCTCCTGACAGTTCTTGGCTTTTGGTTGGTTTGAGCGCCAGTACATGTGGTCACTGAGCGATCTGGAATGAGGAGGATGGAGTGAAACCCAGCAGGGGTTAAGGTGTTGGGTTCATTGAGCGGTTGCACTCAGACCTGAGATCCTGCAACACTGCGTCTTCGTTGAGCATCAGCATCCTCTAAATGTGTGCGCTGTCTGGCCTCCAGGGAGCCACAGTTTGATGCGGGAACCGGGAGGAGCTGTGATGCAGTGTAGTAACCAGTAGGAGTCAGGTGTTGGAGGCTCGCCACTCTGTCTCTAGCTGCAGAACTACTCAGTACGTGGAAGGCCGGCACCCCTGCACTCCCTGGGGCTCTGCCTTGGCTTCGTGTGTCCTCTGGGGAGCCTGGTGAGGTGATCTTTGCATTTGTTAAACTTACTTATTTATTTAATTGATTTTTTTAGAGGGAGAGAAACACCGATCTGATGGAGAAATATCGATCGGCTGCCTCCTACACGCCTTCTACTGAGGATCAAGCTTGAACCCCAGCATGTGCCGGACCAGTGGCCTCTTGTTGCATGGGTCATTGCTCAACCACTGAGCCACACTGGCTGGGCAAGTTTAACTTTTTGAAGAATAGCCAGACTTTGCCACGGCAGCTGCACTGTCTGACCTTCCAATGGCTCCACTTCCTCGACTAGTGTCTGTATTTACAAAGAATCCTGCCCTGGCCGGTTTGGCTCAGCGGTTAGAGCATCACCTACGAACCAGAGAGTCCCAGGTTGGGTTCCGCTAAGGGCACAAACCTCGATTGCAGTTTGTCCCCACCCCCCTGCTGGGGTCGTGTGGGTGTCATCCAGTTGATGTGTCTCTGTCACATCAACGTTTCTCTTTCTCTCTTCCTCCCTCTCCCCCCTCCCGCTCTATTTGAAAAATGCAAAAATGTCCTCGGGTGAAGATAAAAAAAAAGTACTACGAAGAATCATGTCTCCTCTCTTCCGATTGCCTTGTTATTTAAATTCTATAGGGATTCTCACAACTTCTAAGGCCTTCTTGAAATTGACATAGCCAGTGTCCTCCCATATTCCTATGAAGGTCAGCCTACCCCTTTCTTTAACGGTAAATTTTGTCATTTTGGTACCACATTTACAGGAAAGAGGTGAGACTATACACAGAATCCCAGCACACTCCTCACCCGACTCCTGATGTTAACATCCCACCAATCGTTTTTATTTTCTTCTGAACTGATTGAGAGTAATGGCAGCACGATGATACCACTTCACGCCCAAATCCGTCCATGTGTATTTGAAGAGAGGGACAACCTCTTACGTAATCAGACATTCAAACTGATACAACCTACAGACTTTTGCAGTCAGCCACCTGTTCTAATCACATGGGTTATAAGACTTTTCCTGGTCCACATGGAAAAGGGTGTGGAGTCCATTGCACTGAGTCTCTTTTGTGACCTTGACACTTTTGAAGGTCATTCTCATCAGACATTGTCTCACTTTATGATTAAACCAGGGTTGTGTCTTGGCAGGTACACCAGGTGGTCCATTCCATGGGTCATAGGGTGGCAGTCTGTCATTCTTGGCGATGCGACCTTGCTCCCTTAGCTCCGGGGGAGCTGCCCGTTTTCTCTCCTGTAAAGTTACTGTTCTCCCCTTCGTCATCCATAAACATCTTGGGGGAGAAACTCAGATTAAGTGAAGACCTGTTTCTCAAAGGTTTGCCTGCAGATTTCAGCATCCTGTGGTGCAGTGATTATTGTTGTGGTTTTAGTGGTGATTTTTACATTTCCCTCAGTCCTTCAACAGTAATGAGATTGCTTTTCTAAGAGGGGCAGTCCCTTCCCCACCATTTACTGGGTCATTTACGTCAGCATGGACTGGTGGCTGTTTATTTGATTCCAAGCCATCGTCTGGTAACTGTTGTTCATACTGTTTCAGCTGTGATCGTGAGGACCTCACCAGGTTCCTCCTGTGCCTTCGGGCGTGTCCTGTCCTTTCTAAAGCACCTCCTGACTTTCTGGCACCACAGGGGCTCCAGGCTCACCTGACCCCAGCTCCTTTCCCAGAGGCTGGAATTTGGCCCCCAGGGTCTGGGCACTGGGTGTGCTCATTGTTGCTTCTGGGCTCTCCTGGAACAGAACTAGGAATTGACACACTAGTTCATACATACATACACCTGTGTTCATTTCCGTATCTCTATAGCTGTATATATACAGAAAGAACACAATTTTGCCCGGCCTATGTGGCTCCCTGCACCAAGAGGTCACCAGTTTGATTCCCAGTCAGGGCACATGCCCAGGATGTGAGCCAAATCCCCAGTAGTGGGGCATGCAGGAGGCGGCCAGTCGATGTTCTGTCTTGTCGATGTTCCTCTCCCTCTCCCTTCCTCTCTCTAAAATCAATAAAGAAAAAAAACTTAAAAAAAAATTCCAGCTAAGAAATGCCAATGAATTAGAAAAATCGCCATTTTGTGGTGCCTAATAAAAGAATGCCTGTTGAGCCCGGCCGGTGTGGCTCAGGGGACTGAGTGCCATCCCATGAACTGAGAGGCCCTGGGTCCAGTCCCAGTCAGGGCACATGCTGGGGCTGTGGGCTTGATCCCCAGTAGGAGGCGTGCAGGAGGTGGCCGATCGATGTTTCTCTTTCTCTCTCTAAAAAAAAAAAAACATATTAAGAAAAAAAAAAGAATGCCTGTTAAGAACAATCCCCAAGCCTCTGAAGCCACTGGCTGAGAGGCTGCCAGCTGGGGCCCAGGGCACCTCTGAAAGTTCACCTGGGGCATCACCAGCCCGAGACATGGGGGAATAGGGGCGCTCACAACACAAGGGAGGTTTGGGGCCAGGCAAACCCAGAAAACCCAGAAGTGCCACAGAAATTCTCACCGTGTCCCGGTTTCCTCTGCCCCCGAGAGCCACAAGCTCAGGAAAGGGACTGTGGTGTCACAACATAGATTTGGTCCGTGTCCTCCTTCCTGGAACAGAGTTCCTGAAGCCCTTGGAATTTCCAAGGAGCATCTTGTTATTTGTAACAGATCCCTTTCAACCTCACCTGAGTGTATGGTGATGACATGACTCGGTGGCCCCTGGGTTGGTGTCAGGATGGCTGCCAAT